CGGCGGCGCGGCACCCGGAGGGGGCACCCGGGGCGCCGGCGCCGCGCGGGGCGGCGCGATCCGCGCGCGGGGCGGCGGGCCGGCCGGTCTCGGCGGAGCGATCCCGGGCGCGGATCGAGGCGGCGGCCCCGGCGATCCCGCCGGCCTCGGCGGCGGCGGCGCGCCCCGCGGCGGCGGCCGCGCGCCCGGCGCGGCGGCCCGGGGCGCGCCGAAGGGCGGCGGCGCGCGCGGCGGGCCGCCCGCGGGGGGCGGCGACAGGCCCCGAGCGCCCGTCGGCGTCGGCGGGGGTCCGGGCGGGCGCGGCGGCGGGGGACCTCGCGGCGTCCCCGGCGGAGGTCCCGGCGTCGGAGGCCGCGGCGGCAGGATCGGCGCGCCCGCGGGCCTCGGCGGCGCCCGCGGCGGCGGGCCCGGCGATCCTATTGGCCTCGGCGGCGCCCGCGGCGGTGGTGATCCCGCGGGCCGCGGCGGCGCGCGCGGCGGTGGTGATCCCGCGGGCCTCGGCGGCGCGCGAGGCGGAGGCCCCGGCGATCCCGCGGGCCTCGGCGGCGCCCGCGGGGGTGGCCCTGGCGTCCCCGCTGGCCGCGGCGGCGCCCGCGGCGGTGGCCCTGGCGTCCCCGCTGGCCGCGGCGGCGACGGCGGCAGGCCGGCGCGCGGCGGAGGGCCCGGAGACCCAGCGGGCCGCGGCGGAGGCCGCGGCAATCCCGCTCGCGGCGGCGGCGGCGCCCGCGGCGGTCCCGGCGACGCGCTCGGCGGCCTCGGCGGCGGCGGCGGCAGTCCCGCTCGTGGCGGCGGGCCCGGCGGCCGCGGCGGCGGCGGCGGCAGGCCTGCGACGCGGGCAACGCGGTCGGAAGAGCGCGACAGTTCCATGCGACGTACCGGACATGGAACGCCGATGCGCAGCGCCGCCCCGGCGCGCGATCAACGGGGCTCGGCGGCTGCGGCGCGCGCGATGGTGCGCAGCGTTGGTGTTCTGCTTCGCTGCGCGCAGCGCTTCGCGGAGCGTAAGCGGCGCGGGTGGTGCGAGGCTCTCTCGCAAGTCGGGCTGGACCCAGCCGTTGTTTGGGGTTAACGTGTTGACGATGCCGTCGCGTGATGCTGTGACGCGATTCCTTGTCGGCCGCGTCGACGCCGTCTCGCGCCGACGTTCGGCAGTACCCCATCCGAGGTTGTGCAAGCAGGCCGTCGACGACGCCGTCGCACGCGGCGTTCGGCAGTACCCCATTCCGCATCTGCGTCTCCTGAACCAACACACCCGTCGCAAGCACACGCAACGACACACACAATGCGCCGCGCCGCCCTCGCCGCGCGGCCCGCCGCCTTCGCGGCCCGGCGGCGCACGTCCTACGCGCGCGCGCCGCCGCCGGCCCGCGCGCCGCGCAAGCCGCGGCGCAGCTCGTCGTCGTTCCGCGCCGAGAACTCCTTCAGCGAGCCCGGCCTCCCGGACACGCCGCCGACCCGCGAGCAGCTGCAGAACCACTTCATGATCTGCGCCGTGCCGATGGTCGGCTTCGGCCTCATGGACAACACGGTCATGATCCACGCGGGCAACGCCATCGACTGTACCCTGGGCGTGGCCTTTGGGCTTTCCACACTCACCGCGGCGGCGTGCGGGCAGGTCTGCTCCGACGCCGCGGGCGTGCTCTTCGGGGGCGTGCTCGACCGCGGCGCGGCGTCGCTCGGGCTGCCGCGCGCGAACCTGACGCTGTTCCAACGGCGCAGCGCGATCGCGAAACGCGTGGGACTATTGGGCAGCCTCGTGGGCGTCGTGACGGGCTGTTCCTTGGGGCTGCTCAACCTCTTCGTCGTCGACACGAAGCAGTCGTCCGTGCTCAAGCTGCGCCACGACGCGGGCGAGGCGCTGGGCTTCACCGTCGACGTCGACAACGGCGCGCGGCACGACGCGACGACGGTGACCATCGAGGGGCCGGACATCGAGGGCCTGGTGGCCTCGCTGACGGCGGCCATCGCGAACTCGTCCTACTCGCTCGTGACGTGCGCCGCGTCGCCGGGCGACGACGCCGATTCCGTGCGCGACGTCTTCGTGATCCAGACGGCGTCCGGCGACCAGGTCGACGACGGCCACCTGGACGACCTGGCGCGCGTGCTACTCGCCGCGGCGCAGGACCCGCTCAACGCCCACGCGCTCAAGGCGGAGAACTCGGCGCTCCAGCACAAGCAGCTCGCGCTGCTCGAGCGCGTCGCCAAGCTCGAGGCCGCGCTCGAGGAGGCGAGCATCAAGAAGCAGGGGAAGTTCCTGCTCCGCCGCCGCGGCGACTCCGGCGGGCTGCCGCCGTGAATGTCCATAGAACGGAAGTCATAAACCAACGTGCACAGGATGTTATCGCGCGCCGCCCGAGTCGCGCGTCATCGCTCCCCCAGCGCCGAGAGCGCGGCCTCGAGCCGCCGCGTCATCGCGGAGTAGAGCGCGCGCTGCGCCGCCGTCGGCGCCGACGGCGGCGGCGTGCCCCGGATGGCGCCGTGGGCGCGTTCGTAGGCTGCGACGAGATCGTCGACGTCGACGGCGGCGCCGACGCGCACGGCGACGGCGTTTCCGACGCGCGGGAGCGGCGGTTTCGTCTTCCGCGAGCCGTCGTCCGCGAAGGGCATGACGTTTTCCATGCCGCGGTGGTGGAAGGGCACGATGAGCGGCGCGCGCCGCGCGTGGGCCGCGAGCACCGCCGCGCCCCACTTGAGGCCGCCGATGGCCGCGAACACGTCCGGCGGCCGACCCGCGCCCGAGCCGACGCGCGAACACACGTCGTCGTCGCGGCCGATGACGCCGCTCTGGAAGACGTGGCCCTCGGGGAAGAGGTGGACCCAGCGGCCGCCGTCCAACTTGGCGAGCTGGGGCCCGAGCTGGCCGACGCCGCCGCCGCGTTTGATCGGCAGGGCTTTGCCCGCGCCCGCGAGCGTCGACAGCAGGACGCCCCGGCTGAAGCAGACCTCCTGGGCGCAGGCCGCCCAGCGCGCGGCGCGCGCGTCCGCCGCGAGGCGGAAGGGCAGCAGCGCGCTCACGAGGGGCGGGTCGTCGAAGACGGACGCGTGGTTGCAGACCGTGAGCAGACCTCGGTCGTGGCCGCCGCGCCGCGCGTCGACGGCGGCGACGAGCGCCGCGTAGTGCGCGTCGTCGCGCACATCGAACGTGTTGCACCCGCCGAGGAGCGCGCGGCTCGCGGCCGCGACGCCCGCGACGAAGACGTGCGAGAACGCGGCCGCGAGCGCCTGCGACGCGGGCCGGAGCGCGCCGCCGTCGCCGGCCGCGGAGAAGCACGACGGCTCGTCGACGACGCGGAGGTGCGTGTCCAGGCCCGGCGGCGGCGGCCCGACGGGCGGCGCCCGAATCGTCACGCCGCGCGCGGCCATCCAGACGCCGTCGGCGACGTCGGGGAACGGGCGCTCGTAGACGCTCCCGACGAAGGCCAGCGCCGTGCCGGCGCCCGCGGCGCCGGCGGCGCGTCTGAACGCGCGTCGCATCATCGACTCATGCGATCGATGCGGCGCCGGCGCGTCCGAGGCGTCGATTCATGGGCGCATCCGCGGACCCCACACACAGCGCATGTTCAATGCGACTGCGCTTGAACTACAACGTGCGAGATGTATCAAAAGGGCAGGTACGGGTTCAGCGTCTCGCTGATGTCGACGTCGACGCCCGCGCCGATGGCCCGCGCCTTGGCCGTCGCGTTCGCCCGCGCGGCGCGGAAGCCCGCGAGGTCCCCGGGCTTCCGCTTCCGGAAGATGGCCTCGACCTCCTCCTCGCAGAGGGCCAGCGTCGCGTTCGCCGGCGCCATGGCCACGGCGCGCCGCAGGTGGTGCAGGATGAGCTCGAGGCCGTTGGGCGGCCGGTCCGCGCTCGCCGCGTAGGCCGCGGGGATGGACCGGAGCGTGCGGTACCGCGCGGCGAGCGGGTAGGCCATGCCCGGCGCCGCGCGCGCCAGGACGCGCTGCAAGAGCCCGAGCTGCTCCGCGTCGACCTCCGCCAGCGCGCCCGGCACGTCGTCGAGCTGGTCCGGCCGGAGGATGATGGACGAGGCCCCCTGCTGCGGCCAGTTCCACGGCCACAAGTCCCGCTGGTCCTTCGCGGAGACCCAGTCCGCGAAGTCGGGCTCCGCGGCCGCGAGCACGGGCACGGCGCCCGCGTCGATGCTGTCGACGATGCCCTTGCGCACGGCGCTGTGGCCGCAGGGCTGGAACGTGAACGTGGAGTTGCGGTACGCGGCCTCGAAGTGCGTGTTCACGGGCGACGTGTCGTCCGCCAGCCGCTCGCAGTCGTCCATGGCCGCGCAGGCCGCGGCGAACTTGTCGCGCGTGCCGCTCGGGTCCTTGCCGTCGGGCGTCGCGAAGAAGCCCGTGACGCGCGTCCGTCGTTCCCCGGGGCCGGCCGCGACGGTTCCGAACCAGTCGGCCCCAAAGGCCGGCCGGTCGTCCCAGGCGAGGAAGCCCTGGTAGGGCACGGGGTGGACGCGCGCGCAGGCGCGGTTGTAGTTGTACTGGCTCTCGAGGACGAGGCGGTGCGCGCCGCGGAGCGCCCAGCGGTACCCGCAGTCCTCGGAGACGCCGAACCGCTCCAGCCGCTTGAGGTTCTCCGTCTTCTTGCGGTCCGCGGGGTGGTGCCAGGCGCGGCCGATGGCGAAGAAGTGGTCCTCGAGGTTGCGCCGTCCCAAAAAGCTGCCGTCGCGCTTCGTGCGGAATTTCCGCAGGTGCCTGAGCCAGACGGGGCCGACGGCGGAGCACCACTGGTCCTTGGAGATGCGGTGCCGCTCGACGAGCGTGGAGATGAAGTGGTCCGGGATGAAGAAGAGGTCCGCGTCCTTCGGCTTCGTGACGATGTTCGGATAGCCCACCGCCAGAGCGCGGTGGAGCGCCTGGGCCATCGCGTGCTGGCTGAAGCGCTCGAGCACGCAGCGGCCCTCGACGACGTCCGCGTCGCCCCGCGCCAGCGCGTCCTTGCAGAAGGCGCCCCCGTGGTGGCCCCGGTCCTCGGCGCTCGCCTCGTTCCAGCGGCCGACGAGCGTCGCCGACGGCGTCCAGACGCGGCCCAGGACCTCGCCGCGCGGGCCGAGCGCCTCGGGGCCCCAGGACTCGGACGCCTGCTGCGACGGGTCGAGGCCCCCGGCGAAGTCGAAGTAGGTGATGTTCGGCGACAGCTTCGCGACCTGCGCCGCCGGCAGGTGCCTCTTCAGCAGGCCGTAGATGTCGACGAGCTCGGGCGGGAACGGGTAGACGTAGACCCTGGGCAGGTCGAGGTCGCGGACCGTCGTCGCCGGCGTCGCCAGCGCCGCGCGCACGGCGGCGCGCTCCCGCGCCGTCCACGCCGTCGACCCCTGGGGCATGTCGCCGCCCTGCCACCGCGACCGCAGCGCGCCGTCGCCGACGCAGAGGGGCGACGTGCGGTCCGTGCACCACTCGCCGCTGGCGCCGAGGGCCAGGAGGCCCAGGATCGCGGGCCGCACGGCGCGCCCGCGGGCTGCGGGGCGCATCGGCTACGGCGGGCTGCGGGCGTGCATTATTTTACGATCGACCATGGTCATCAGCAACATCGTTCATGCAACTTTGCCCCGCACTTTTTCTAGTGCAAGTAGGAGCCCATACCCATTCTTCCATCTGAGAGCGTCTCGTTTCGTGTGCTGCCCGCCGCACGCGCCGTCGTCCGTGAAGCGGCGCCAGCCTCGTCGACATGCCGCGCGGCTGAGCGTGCGATGGCGGTCCGCGCGGCGCGGGCCCTGGCCCTGGCCCTCGCGCTCCGGCCGTGCCGCTCCCTGACCGCCGCGGACATCGCCGCGGCGCACACGGAGCGGGCCGGCGACGTCTGCGGCCTGCCCGACGACGGGGCCATCTACCCGCCCGTCGTCCTGCGCGAGTGCGACGAGCCGCTCTGCGAGGGCTGCGCGGACCTGCGCGGCGTCTGGGCCGGGGACTTACCGGAAACGGGCGGCCACTTCGAGGAGCGGATCGAGCAGTGCGGGTCGCGCGTCGTCGTCGCCGGGCCCGTCGGCGACGGCGCGCACCGCTACAGCCACGACTTCGCCGCCGCCGACGGCACCTACGCGTCCGGCGCCGACGACTACGACCCCGCGAAGCTGCCCGCGTGCGCCGACGCGAAGCTCAAGGCGGACTTCGCGTGGGGCTGCCTCGTGACGACGTCGCCGGCGCTCGGCGAGGCGACGCGCTGTCTGCTGGAGGACGGCACGATCGAGTACGCCGACCCCTCGCGCTTCGACGGCGCGATGACCCTGACGTTCAAGGCCGCGCTCTACGACGAGCGGCTGCCGTACCACATCGACCGCAAGGACGGCCTCGTCGGGTCCGGCGAGGCGCACCGCTACCTCGTCTTCTTCCTCGTCCTCACGGGCCTCGCCTTCGTCGTGTCCTGGGGCCTCGCGTACCTCGTCGCGACGCACCCCGCGCTCGGCGAGGGCGAGCCCACGGTCGTCTACCTCTGCTAGGCCTGCTAAGCCGCTCCCCCACGTTTAGAAGTACTTCGCGTCGCGCGCCTTGTCGTCGAAGCGCGGGCGCCGCAGGGCGATGGCCTCCATGTCGTCGCCGAGGTAGGACGTCGCCTTGTGGCTCACGAGCGTCTTCGGGTCCTCGTACTCGCAGATCTCGAGGAAGGTCGGCACCTTGTCCAGCACGAGGTTCGCCTCCTTGGCGCTCAGCGCGCTCTTGACCATGCTCTCGTCCATCTTCACGAGCGTCTTCTTGACGATCCACCACGTGTGCGCCGCGTTCTGGTTCGGGATCGTCGAGATGGGCTGGACGTAGTCGTTCTCGAACTTGATCATGGGCTCGACGCGCGAGTCGCCGTAGATGAGCTCCACGAGGGCCATGGCGACGATGGGCATGCCGTGCTCGACGTCGTCGCCGTCGATCCAGTGCACGTACGTGTCGGGGACCGCGGGGCTTAAACTGACGATCTTCGTCTCGCGGATGGACCGGAAGAAGCACTCGGGGAAGCAGCGGTGCCGCACGAGGCCCGTGACGCCCTCGGAGCTCTTGGGCGCGACGAGGTACGTGTACTCGAACTTCTCGTAGGCGCCGTCCTCCGCGTCCTCGTCGCGCGGCAACAAATTCGCGCGGCAGCGGTCGCTGACGTGCTCGACGAGGGCCGCGACGCCGTAGTACTCGGCCTCGAGCAAGATGCTCTTGAGCATGTGCTGCGCCTCGGGCGCGATGACGAGGCTGCCCGTCCGCAAGAAGCTCAGGATGTACGAGAAGGGCTCGCCGTCGCGGTCGATGAAGATGTCGCCCTCGTCGCCCATGCGGTTCGCGAGGAGCTTCTCGAAGTAGGGCGAGTCCATGAGCGTCGACGACAGCGTCACGAAGATCTTGCCGCCGACGTTGAGCACGACGCGCCCGTGGCCCGACATGGTCGCGCGCCACTTCTCTTCCTGCTGCGACGCGTCGCCGAAGCTGAAGCCGCCCTGCTGTTCCTTTTTCTCTGGCGTGGCGAGGAGGCCGTGGTCGGGCTTGTTGTTCCTTGGCAGGCTGCCCCAGGCCACCATAAACACGCAGCGTGCAACACCTCCGGACGCTGCTTACAGCGCGCAACACCTCCGCTTTGAACGCAGCAGCAACGAAAGCGCGCCGATAATTGCATGCAACTTCGCCAAAGTGCCGCTCGAGAGGCCGCAGTCTGGGCTCCCAGGGAGAGCATCGCAGGCATCATGGACCGGCCGCTGAACCCGCGCCAGGTCGAACGGATCACGAAGCGGCGCCTCGTGCGCGAGCATTTGCACGCGAATGGCAGCGAGTCCATCCAACGAGCTCCAAACCTGCGCCTGACCGGCTCCGGCGGTGTGGTCTTGCCCACGGCGGTCGCCGAGGACGCGGCGGCATCGTCGTCGACGGCGGCGGGCGTCGCGCCCGCCGAGGAGACCGTGTCCATCTCGCACGCGGCGGCTGAGCTGTCGCCGGGCCCGGCGACGACGTCAGCGATAGACGGCGCGGCGGCCGCGGGCCTCGATCCGGACATGCTTCTGGACCTCCATGGCCCCTTGGGCGCGTGGTACGCGGCCGAGGGTCGCGCGACGCTGCGCGCGGCGCACGGATCGTACCCGCGGGGCGCAGAGGATTTGGAGTCCTGGCCCGCGTTCGAGGAAGTCACGCAGGCCTTCTTCAAGGACAGCGACGTCGAGGCCGGAGAGATCACGTGTCTGCTGTGCTTCGACGCGGAGTCTACGGTTTCGACACCCTGCTGCTCGCAGCCCGTCTGTCGCGACTGCGTCAAGCAGCACGCCGCGATCTCGCGGCAGTGGTTCCGCTGCGGCTTTTGTAAATCGTCGTCCGAGGAGTTCTTCGCCTTCGCCGAGTCGTGCGGCGCGGCCCGGTCGGACGAACGAGCGCTCTACGGCGATGAGACCGAGCCCTTGGTGCCGGCGTGCACGGCGCTCTGCGCGTGCCCGAAGGGCCGACGGTTCGACTCTCGGAACACGCCGAGCCTCCGGCGACCGGATGACGGCGACGGTTGGCGGCTCCACGGCTGCGGGACATGCGGGCAGTCGTGGGTCCACCGACGATGTGCGACGAGCGCGCCGCCGGAGGACGGCGAGTTCGTCTTCACCTGCCGTAGCTGCGCGCCCGCGAGCCCGAGCCCCGTGAGGAGTTGGTGGCCCGACTCCTCCGCGTGCGGCTTGGACGCTGTCGACGAGACGGCGCCGACGGACGAGCAGCCCGAGCCCGAGCGGCTCGAGTGCGTGCCCCGGCGGCCGGCGGCGCCGCAACCACAGCGCCGACTGCACGCGCTTCGACAACCGATGACGGCGGCGTTCCCGTGCCCGGCGGGCTGCCCCAGGAGATTTGCGCGTCAAGGAGCGGCGACGATGCACGGCAGATTTTGCAAGTCCACGGGATTGCAGGCCGCACCGCTGTGCCCCGCGGCGACTTTTCCGTGCCCCGCGGGCTGTCCGAGGACTTTTTTGAGGTTGACCGCGGCGAAGTCGCATGGTAGATCTTGTGGTCGCGAGACCAAGAAGCGCCAGCGCAAGGCGCCGGAGTCAGAGGACCGCTGCAAATTGTGTGACGCGTCGACTCTCGCGGACGACGGTCGGACGCCCCTGGAGAACGTGCTGCTGTGCGAGTACTGCGATCAGGAGGTCCATCTCGAGTGCCTAGGTTTGAACGCGATCCCCGAAGAGGATTTCTTTTGCTCTCAAGAGTGCGAGCAAAAATCTATTCTCCAGGCCGCGGCGCCGGCGCCTCTCTCGCCCGACGCTCCCGCTACGTCGCCGCAGATTGCGACGCCGACGCCCTCCATCGAGTTCGCCCTCCCGACGGAGTATCGCGTCGGCGACAAGGTCAAGGCGCGCTGGCGCAGGGGCTGGGACTGGTACCGCGGCGTCGTCACCGCGGTGTCTCAAGACGCGGCGAAGAGTCTGACGCGAAAAGGAGACTGTTGGCTGACGATCCGATACCCCGACGGCGAGCTTGAGGAGCGCGTCCACGACGCCATGGTTCGTCCCGCCGAGACCATCAAAGTCGAGTGCGGTGTCATGTTTTTGGACGACGACGTGCGCTACACGGTCTACAAGGTCGAGACGCTGTCCCTGCGCGTGAACCTAGCGGACCCGGATTCTGCTCGCGTCGACCATCTGTGCGCCTGGTTCTACGAGTCGTCCGCGACGCCGCCCGACGAATCCAACTTTACAGATGTCTGCGAGTACATGTCCGTCGACGATGTCTCTACACTCATCGAGTCGCAACCAGAGGTGCAAGTGCGAAGACGAAAGGGCAAACAGACGAAAGAGCGGCGAGCTCCTACGGACCTGTCGACGGAACCGGTGGAGCGCGCCTCCTGGACCTGTGGTCGCTGCCACGACCGAGGCTGCGACCGGTGCAAGCCCGACGATTATGCGCCGACGCCGAAACGGCCGAAACGGAGCACGCCATTCTCTTCTTCGCGCCGCACTCCTCTCCGGAAGCGCAAGGCGCACGAGCCCCACGTGGCCGGGCGCGCGTCCAAATCTCCGACGGACGCTCCGCCGGCCGAAAAGCCGCGCGCGGGCTCCGCGAAACGAGATTTTACCAGCAGCTTTCGAGGCGTTTGCAAAAGGGCAGCCGGCGACTCCGGGCTGCCGTGGGAGGCCAAGATCCAATCGCAAGGGACCCGCACTCACGTCGGACATTTCGAGCTCGAGTACGAGGCGGCCCTGGCCTTTGATGCCAAAGCGCGAGAGCTCGGCCATGAGAGCTGGTGCAACTTTCCACGGCCTCCGATCCCGGCTCCTGGTCGCATCACCCTTTCGAGCTCTGACGACGTCGTCGGGCGCCGCGTGGAAATTTACTGGGAGCCGCACCGCGAATGGTGCGCGGCGACGATGATCTCCTTCGACGAACCCTCCGGCAGCGTCCTCGCTCTCTACGACGACGACGCCTGCGAATGGGTCCCGCTCGCCTCTGCGGACGGCGGCGAGGCGCTGCTCCGGCGCCGGTTGCAGTTCGGCGGGCTCATCCGCCTGCGCGGAGCCGTCGAGGAAGCGGCGTCGCATGGGCTTTTTCCGGAAGCGCCCGGGGATACCGTCGCCGCCGCAGAGCCCGTCGCCGCCGCCGAAGCCGTCGCCGACGAGCCCGTCGCCGCCGCGGAGCCCGTCGTCGAGCACGTCGGCGCGGACCCCTTAGACGCGCTCCGGGCCTCCGAGGCCGTCGTCGCATGCCTGCAGGCCGAGGCCGCGTGCCAGAGCCTCATTATCGACTCGCGCAACGCGCTCATCACCGCGATGCGCCTCCTGACCCGCGACGAGACACACCTGCCGGCGCCGCCAGCCGTGCCGGCCGTCGCGCCAGCCGCGCCGCCGCCGGCCGTGCCCGTCGCGCCCGCCGCGCCGCCGCCAGCCGCGCCCGCCCCGCCGGCCGCGCCGCTGCCCGTCGCGCCGGCAGCCGCTGCCCCACCTGTGCCCGCCGCGCCGCCGCCGGCCGCGCCCGCCCCACCGGCAGCCACTGCGCCGCCTGTGCCCACCGCGCCGCCGCCAGCCGCGCCCTATCCGAGTCCGAACTTTCATCCGCCCTACTGCCACTACTATGCGCTTCCGCCGGCCTACTACCCGCAGTCCTACTACGGAGACGCGATGCGCCGCTTCGATTAACTATTAATGAGCGACGCTCGCCCGCAGCTCCGCGTAGGTCCCGAGCCCCGTCCGTCGCTGCATCGTGCCGCGCCAGCGGTCCTCGAGCATGCGCGCGACCTTGGGCGGCAGGGCCTTGGAGCCGCCGACCTGGCCCGAGCGCACCTTCGTCGCCATGTGGACCGCGTCGTCCGGGAAGCCCATCTGCGCGCGGAGCTTGCCGAAGACGAAGTGGTCGTCGTACTTGGACCCGTCGGCGCTCATGGCCGCGAGCGTCGTCGCCGCGCGGACGCGCTCGACCGTCGCGTCGTCGGCGTCGACGCCCATGAAGGCCGCGACGCGCCGGATCTCGCGCGCCGGGTCGCGCTTGACGTCCTCGTAGCAGACCCAGAGCACGTCACCGTCGCGCCGCCGGGGCCACCAGCCCGCGAAGTGGGTCCAGATGCCGCCGCTGTGGCTCAGCCCGCCGAAGATGCCCCGGGCGAAGCACTCGACGCTCAGCGGGCCGCACTGCATGTACGCCGGCAGGAACTTGTAAAAGGACCAGAACGCGTCCTTCGGATCTCGCGCGACGTAGATGTACCGGCCGCCCTTGGCCACGGTCTCGTAGGACTCGTGGCTCTTGAAGAGGCGCGGCGACGCGACCTGGTCGGCGTCGAGGTCCTGGCCGCAGTCGCGGGCTACTATATCCCACGGCACGACCTCGGTGATCTCGCCGAAGTCCGCGGCCAGCGTCTCCCGGTCCCCGGCGACGCGCAGGAAGTGGCAGATGGCGCTCACCCAGGTCGTGCCGCACTTGGGGTAGGTGACGATGAAGACGTCGCTCGGCCGCGTCGCGAAGGACCTGCCCGCGGCGACGCTCTCCGGCGAGTGCATCCTGCCGTTGCGCTCGCCGAGGATCGCCATGGCCGCGGCGTCGCTGGCGCGCACGCGGCGCGCAGCGAGGTACTTTTTCAGTGCGAGAGCGCCCATGGCGAGCGTCGCCGCGCCGGCGGCGGCGAGCAGCGGCGCAGGCTTTGCTGGCGCCATAAATATTTTTTTGCCTCAGCTCGCTGAATGACAAGGGCAAGCTCGACTTCAACCGCATGTCACAACAAACAGCCGCCTTTACGACGACGTCGGCGCGCGGGACTTGGCGCGGCAGAGCGGGCAGCGGACCGTCGCCGAGAGGCGCGTCTGGCCGTGGCCCGAGACCGCGGCGAGCCGCGCGAGGCACGCCGGGTGGATGCGGTGCTGGCAGTCGAGGGCCGAGTCCGCCGGCGCCTCGTCGAAGCAGATGGGGCAGAGCTGCGGCGGCGCGTCCGCGGGCGCGCCGCCGGTTTCGTCGCGCGCGCGCTTCTTCGCGAGGGGCTTGCTCTTCACGCCATATGTGCCCGCCTGGATGCCGAGGCTCAGGAAGTGCTGCGCCTTCTCGCGCTGGTGGACGACGCACGACTGGCGCAGCGTGTTGGGCCCGCCGTTGCACGACATGTCGAGGCAGAAGCGGCAGGTGTTGCAGCGCGGCGTCTGCGACCGGAAGTAGAGCTTCGCCCCGAAGCGCTGGCCCACGGCGGCCTCCTCGGCCTCCGCGTGGGTTCGCGCGGCGCCGCGCGCCGTCGCGACGTCGAGCTCGACGCGCGCGCCGCCGCCGACGAGGGGCGCGCAGACGACGGCGCCCTGGACGAAGTCGACGACGCGGAGCAGCGCCGGCGGCTTGTCGTCGTCGTCGTCGTCGTCGTCGTCGTCGGGCCGCAGGAGGACGCGGCCGACGAGGGGCGCGTGGGCGGCGGCGCCCTTGACGGCGAGGGCGACGGGCGCGCTCTCGCGCGCGACGACGGCGCCGAAGCCGCCGAGCGCGCGGAGCGCGTCGACGCGCTCGCCGTTCGACGGCAAAGCCGCCAACGCGTCCGCGCGGCTCCGCGCGGCGAGGAAGCGCTTGTAGATCTTGTTCTTGCTCCAGGACGCGTCGAGCCGCGCCGACGCCGCCGCGTCCGGGGGCCAGGGCGCGCTGCCGTCGCGCGGGACGACGTCGTAGCCCGTGGCCTCGGCTTCGCGGAGGTAGCGCACCAGATCGTGGCCCGGCGGCGGGTTGGCGCGCACGAGGTCGAGGATGAGCGCGCTCCGGCGGCCGTCGGGCGGCGCCGGGTCCACGACGAGGGCGGGCCAGCGCTGGGACTTGACGTAGACGAGCGCGCCGAAGCGGTCGCGCTCGGCTTGCGGCAGCGCGGCGACGAGCGCGAGGACCTCGTCGTCGTCGTCGCCGGACTCGATGCCGTAGTCGTCGTCCGAGGCGAGCGACGAGTTCTCGTCGTCGCTCTTGGGGCCGAGGTGCGGCGTCGGCGTGAGCACCGGCGCCTCGGCCGCGCCCGCTTCGAAGTCGTCGTCGTCGTCGATCGCGGCCCGCGTCACGGCGCCCTCGACGATGCCCTCGCGGCGCGGCGCGGAGAGGAAGGCGAAGGTGCGCGGCGCGGCGAGCGCGGCTCGCGGCGCGGCGGGGAGCGCGGCGTCCGGGTCGCCGCCCGACGCCTCCGGCTCGCGCGGCGCCTCGGGGACGGCGTCGTCGACGCGCGGGACGTCGTCGGGGCCGTCGTCCTCCTCGTCCGTGGTGTCGTCGATGCGCGGGATGCCGTCGGCGGCGAGGGCCGCGTCGAGGCGCGCGGCGTTGGTCAGGCCGACGAGGCCCGCCGCGGCCGCGGACGCCGCGCGGAAGTCGCCGGAGCGCGACGCGCCGAGCTTCTTCGGCGGGAGGCCCGGCGCGAAGGGCCGGAGGCGGTCGCGGCGCTCGCTGCCGAAGGCCCAGTGCGCCCGCTCGCCGACGTAGAGCACGAGGTCGTAGGTCGGCGGGCCCTTGTCCGCGAAGGCCGCGACGGCCGCCGTGGCCAACGGGATCCGCGGGTCCATGACGACGCAGGGCCAGTTGTTCCCGTTGACGAAGAGGGCGCCGAAGCGGTCGCGCTCCGCGGCGGGGAGCGCGGCGACGGCGGCGTCGTTGCGCGCGCGGAGCGACACGTCGCGCGCCTCGCGCGCGCCCGCCGCCGACCGGGGCCGGCCGCCGCCGCCGCGCTCCGCGCGCCGCGCGCCGTAAAAGAGCGCGTCCTCGTCGGGAAAGACGCTCAGGCGCGCGGCGTCGCCGCCGGCGTCGAGCGGGCAGCGCCAGCCCGGCGGCGCGGGGCCGATCAAGCCCGTGCACGCCCGGTGGCACGACCCGCCGCAGCGGCCGTCCGGGCCCGCGGCGCAGGCGACCACATCCGCGCCGCCGGCCTCGGCGCCGCGGCCGCAGACGCAGAAGCTCCGCGCGGCCGCGAGCGCCTCGCCCGCCTTGCCCGCGCTCGCGAAGGGCAGCGACAGGAGTTTGCCGCCGACGGCCAAACGCGCGAAATGGCGCTTGCCCTGGCGCCAGACGCAGCCGTGCTCCACGAGCAGGGGCTTGAGGCTCGTGTTCGAGATCCGGGGGCAGCACGGGCGCGGCGACGACGGCGCCGCGGCCTCGGCCTCGGCGACGGGCGCGGCCTCGACGGCGCGCGGCCGCTCGACGGCGCGCGGCGGCGGCGGCGGCGGCGGCGGCGGCGCCTCGAAGACGCGCGGCGGCGGCGGCGGCCGGCCGAGGCGCGGGCCGAGGTGCTTCTCGAGGACGCGGCCGTCGTGGTCGCCGTCGTCGAAGGCCACGGCGTAGACGCCGACCTCGCCGCCGACGTCGACGGCGGCGACGCGGCCCGGGAAGAGGTAGCGGCTCACCTTGTCCTCGGTCTCGTGGTAGCGCGCCATGCACTCGTCGCCGACGGCCCAGGCGAGGACCTTCTCCCTGCTCTTCGTCGGCGCCTGCTTCGGCGGCGCGACGGCCGCCGGCGCCCGCGTCGCCGGCGGCGGCGCCTTGGGCCGCTTCGCCGGCGCGCCGACGTCGTCCCGCGGCACGGGCCGCTTCTTCTCGCGGGCGGACGGCCCGCGTGTGGGCGGCAGCGCCGCGGCGCGCGCGAGCATGGCCACGCCGCCGGCCGGGTCCGCGGGCTTGCACGCTTTCTCGTGGTTGCCGCGGCCCGCCGGCCAGTCGAACGAGCGGCCGCAGCCCTTGCGGCAGAAGAGAAGCTCCCGGCTTTTGAGCGACACCGCCGGCTGCTTGGACGGGCGCGCGGCCTCGCCCGGGTTGCGCGCCTCGAACTGTCCCGCGACGTGCGTCGGCTTGCCCTGGACGAGGGAGCCGATCGCCATCGCGTCGAGGCCCTCGAAGGCGGCCGCGGCCTCCGACCGCGACGCGAAGCGGCGCCAGGCGCCGCCGACGGCGCGCACCTCGACGGGCTTGCAGTTGCGGCTGTTGCCGTGGGCCTGCTTGGCCTGCTTGGGCGGGCGCGCGGCCTCGCCGGGGTAGCGCGCCTCGAACGCGCCCGCGGCGCGCGTCGCGTTGCCGTGGATCAGGTTGTAGACCGCCGGCGCGTCGAGGCCCGGGAACGCGGCCGCGGCGTCGTGGCGCGAGTCGAAGAGGCGCCAGGCGCCGCCGACGGCGCGCACCTCGACGGGCTTGCACTTGCCGCGCTTCGAGGGCGTCGCGGGCGCGGGCGTCGGCGGCGGCGGCGCGACCGGCGACGGCGGGAGGCGCTGGAGCGAGTCGAGCGGCGCGGCCTCGAGCGCGAGCGCGGGCGCGCTGGGCGCGGGCGCGACGGGCGTCACCGCCGCGGGCGTCGCGGTCGCGGGCGCCGCCGCCGCGGAAGCGGCGGAAGCGGCGGAAGCGGCGGCGCCGTCCGCGGGCGCGGGCGCGGGCGCCGCCGCCGGCGCGGACGCGACCGGCGTCACGACCGCGTCGCCGCGCAGCAGCGCCACGGCGCGCTGGAACTTGGCCGCGGGGAGCGCCTTGACGCCTTCGCAGAGCTCGGCGATGTCCTCCGGATCGGCGGCCACAAGGTCGTAGAGGTGTTCGACCTGCTCGTGGATGTTGTGCAGGAGCGATTCATTGGTCAGTCCTTCGCGCGCAAGCCACGCCTCGAGGCCCGCGGCGTCGTAGAGCTGCGGGCCCGGAGGGGACTCCGCAAGAGGCTCGACCATCTCGGACTCAGCCTTGATTCGGGTCGATGGTCGCCTTCAAGCTTGGCCCTCGCCGTGCACGATGGCGCCGCAAGAGCTCGTGAAGGCCTTCGTGAAGAGTTCTCGACGAGGAACTTACGAGATCCAGAAGCGGACGATCGCCTGGAAGACGTCGCCCGGCTGCGAGAAGAGGCGCTGGACGACGCCCGAGACGCGCAGCGTCGCCTCCAGGTGCTTGAGAGCCTTGAGGACGGCCGCGTCGACGCCCTGGGCCCGGAGGAAAGCGAGCTGGCTGGGGTCGGGACCCTCGCCGAAGACCGCGGGCAGGGCGCGGCCCGTGGCGTAGAGCTGCCGCATGGCGGCGACGCGCGCTCGCAGGCCGCCGATGTAAGATCGATAGCCGCCGGCGCTTCGGACCTTCCGCAGGAACGCGATGGCGGAACTTGGCTCAGGTACGAGTCCGCCAGTGGCGCTACGGGTTCCCGTAGTGAAGCGCTCGATGTATTGTCGATCGAAGTCGAGAAGACGAGACTCGTCGGGCACAGCGACACCACAGCGCAGCAAGGACACGACAACGTCCAGCCGAGATTCTTTCGTACGCGGCTCACGGCGCATCACGGCAACTTCCAGCGGCGTTATTCCGACATGGGATCCTTTGAAACCGTCGGGAAAATGACCACTGAGATCCGCGCCCGCTGACTGCAAGAGCGGTATGCAACTGGCCATGTGGCCGCAGGCGTCGCCCTGAAGCTGCATGTCGCTTACACACAGAGCGAGGAGCATGCTGCGGGCGAATGATGCGTCCTCGGGGCTCAGTTTGGCAATTTCGCTCAAGAAAAGCTCGAACATGGGGTACGCGAGGCGGGCCTTGACGCGCAGGCAGCAACCGAACTCGCGGTAAAGTTGGTACATTCGTCGCTCTAAGGCACGCACATCGAAGGGCGCACCGCGGGCGAGGCAATGACGCACGGTTTCGATGCACCCAGATGACAACGCCGCTTCGAATAAATTCGCGTATCCATCAGGCACTGCGAGATCGTCGTCGAGACGTCTCGTCATGCTCGCGCCAAGCTCCTCGAGCGCCACAAGAGAAGCACGGAGGCCTAGCGCAGCGGCAGTGAAGACCGGCGATTCCGTATAGCCGAGATTTGGCGACTCGACGCCGTCGAGTGCCGCGCCGCGAGAGACCAAGAACTTCATCATGTCGAATCGCTGGAGCACGGCGGCTACGTTGAGTGCCGTCCACCACACGGTCTCGTGAAGGTCGTTCTCCATGTTGTCGATGGGGAACGGCACGTTCATAGTGCCCCAGTGCTTGCGCAGCCCCTCATCGTCGTTGGCGCGAATCGCGTCGATCAAGTCGACGTGCCGTGCCGGCGGCAGCAACTCCTCCCTGGCGGCGTGAGCCGCGGCGATGGCCGCCTCCTGCTCCGCGGAGAAGCAGCGCTCGATGCTCGGCAGGCGCGGCGCCTCGACGAATCGTGCGACGGCGCCAGTCTGTGCTAGGATCCGCGCGCTGACGCGCTCGAGCGCAAGCTTCTCGTCAGGAAATAGTCCAACAGACTCGGTGCTGCCGTCGAGGCGTGTGATCTGGGCGACATCAAGGTCGATCGAGGCGTCGTAGTGGATCATGGGCGAGGCCAAGCAGTGGGCGCAGAGAACGCAGCCAGACGCCGCTCGATGGAGTCCTGCGACTGCTCCACTGGCTCGATGCAGTCGCGTTGCAGGCCGCGCGCGCCTCGCTACTTGCGGGCCCGCCCACCCACGCCCTCCCAGGCGGAAAAGAGCAGCGCGACGACACACAAGACCCGAACACAGAGAACGCCAGCCGAGAGCGCGCGCGCCCGCGCGTTACGAGAGCCCGCGCCTACCGGCTCTTCTTCTTCTTGCCGCCCTTCTTCTTCTTGGCCGCGGACTTCTTCTTCGAGCCGCCGGAGCCGCCGTTGTTCATGAGGTTGGGGATCTTGCCGCCTCCCGCGCAGATCTTGGCCGCGCGGTTCTCCATGGCTTCCGTGATCTTGTAGAGGTCCTCGACGCGGACGGCCTCGCCCGCGTCGACGGCCTGCGCGGGCAGCGTGACGTTGAAGGCCGCGTGGAAGGTGAAGGGCCCGCCGAGCACGTAGGTCTTGGCCTCCGTCGCCGGGTCCTCGTCCCACTTGATGATCTCGTTGTCGGAGCCGGAGACGACCTCCATGCCGTTGGCCTCGAGCGTGAACTTGACGAGGTCCTCCATGACCGTCGTCAACGAGAACTCGACCATCTGCGTCTTGATCCAGGGCGGGATGTCGCCGGGCCGGAAGCCGGGCTCCGCGAGGTTGTCCTTGGCCTGGGCCCTAATCTCGTCGAACGCGTACATGACCGCCGCGCCCGGCGCGACGTACTCGCCCTTGACGACGTACTGGCGCTGCGCCGCGTCGATGGTCGAGTCGACGACGAGGTCGACCTTCTCGACGACGCAGGGCACGGGCGCGTCGGGCGCCAGCGGCGCGGCGGCCGCGGCCGCGGCCGCGGCGGCCGCGGCGGGCGCCGCGGGCGCCGGCGCGGCGTCGCCCAGCTTGACGCCAAAGTCGGCGTAGGACGTGACGCCCGAGGCGTCGCAGGCCGCGCGCCACGCGGCGGCCGTCGGCGCCTCCTCGACGACGGCGGTCTCGCTGACGTCGATGACGTCGGCGCGGAGCGCGTTGCAGCGCGGGGCGCTGCGCTGCGCCGGCGCGAAGGCCGTCGCGACGGCGAGCAGCGCGAGCGCCAGCGACATGGTCGTGCGTTGTCTCTTCATGCTTGCACTACTCGTCATCATCACGCTGCTGAGTCAATGAGAGCTCGGCTCGAGCGATGCCCAGCGAGCCGAACTCGATTGCTAGGCCGGGAGGCATCGTCCCAGGCGCAGCACGACGTGGAATCGACGACGTGCGCTGCGAGCGGCCGGGTGCGCTCGCGACGGCAGCAATCGAAAGCAGTGTGTGGCGACTTTTCGCCGCGGCCGCGGCCAAATTGCCACAGCGCGCGGGACGAAACCGCCGCGATCGGCGCAAGAATTTGCAGCCCGACGACGCCAATGCCACCGGAGCCGCCGCCGCAACAGCGTCCCCCGCCAGCGCGAACACGGACGCGTCCGATTGGCGGTCAACATTGAAGGGAAATGATTCCATGTCCTTGCGGCTGGTCCTTGCACTAAAGCTAAGCGAGGTGTCGCCCGACGCTCGGTGCTCCGCTGCCTGCCTCTGCGTGGTCGTTCGAGGGCTGAGCTCACCCTGGTGCGCGCCGCGGGGTGAGCGGCGCGCGACGCGCCCGGGGGGCGATGAACGGTGACGCGGTCGGCGACGCGACCATGAACGGCGAGCCGAAGACTCGCGCGAAGAAGAAGAAGTCCAAAGAGGTGCGCCGCGCCGCGTCCCACGCCGCCGCGTCTCGGCGCGCCTCCGTCGTTTTCGCGCGGGCGGCGCCGGCGCCGGCCGCGTCGCGTCGAGCGCGCGACGAGTGCCGCGCGCGCGGCGCCGCGGCGCCGCGGCGCGCGCCGCGCGAGCGGGAGCGCGAAACGCGCGCGCGCGCGAGCCCGGGGCGGGGCGGCGCCGCCCGAGCCGCGTGCCCCCGCAGTCCCGCGACGGCGCCGCCGTGCGGAAGCTCATCAAGACGGCCATCTACGGCGCGGCGGACGCGGCGCGGCGCCGGCGTCGGAGCGACGTCGCTTCGGGAGCGCGTCGCGCGCCGGGGGCTCACCGACCCACTCGTAGGCCATCGACGAGGTCGTCGCGCGGGAGAAGCGGAAGAAGAAGCCCCTGTCGCTCGCGCAGATGGAGGCCGCGGCCGCGCGGGAGAAGCGCGAGGCGGAGCTGGCGAAGAAGGCCGAGGAGAAGAAGGCCGAGGACGAGCGCAAGGCCGCCGCGGAGGCCGCGGCGAAGCAGGAGGCCGACGCGGCCGCCGCCGCGGCGGCGAAGAAGAACGGGGCGGCGCCGCCCGCGCCCGCGGCGGAGCCGCCCGCGCCCGCGGCCAAGTCGCCGCCGCCGTCGCCGTCGAAGCCCGGGTCGGGCAAGGCCGGCGTCTACACGGCGCCGTCGAAGCGCGCCGGCGCGACGCCGAGCGCGGCGCCGCCGCCGCGGGGCCCCGGCGCGCCGCCGCCCGCGCCGTCGGGCTCGTACGCGGCGGCGTCGTCCGGCCCGCGGCCGGCGAGCGAGTCCGCGGCGTCCTTCGGCGCGTCGCTGGCCACGGCGCGGTCCGGCGCGCCGCCGCCGCCGAGCGGGCCGAGCCTCACCGTGCTCCGGCGGCCCGACGCGGCCGCGGCATCGGCGGCGAGCTCCGGCGGCGCGGCGAGCTCGGGCGAGAACGCGTGGGAGAGCGGGCCCTGGAGACGACGGACGTCGCCGCCGGGCAAGGCGCCCAAGACCTGGGCGAGCGCCGTGAGCGGCCTCGCGGCGCCCCCGGGCGCCGCGGCCGCGGCCGGCGCCGGCGCCGCCGACGGGTCGCTCGACCCGCTGCCCGGCGCGCCGAGCCCCGCGGCGTCGTCGTCGCCGCCGGCGGCGCGGTCCAACCCGGCGCCGAGCTCCTGGGCCGCCGCCGCGCGCGCGGGCCTGCCCGCGGCGCCCGCGGCGGAGCCCGCGGCGCCGCCGCCGCCGGCGCCCGCGGGCAACGCGTGGGCGTCGGGCCAGCCCAAGGGCGCCCTCGCTTTAGCCCGGGGCTTCGCGGCGATCCGCGAGTCGAGCGAGGCCGAGGCGCGCGCGGAGAAGGTGCCGTCCGTCGCGTCGGACGTGTCCGCGGAGGCGTCGACGGCCGAGACGCCCATGGCCAAGGACGAGTCCGACTCCATCGACGACCACGGGAGCCCCGGCGGCGCCGCGCCGGCGCCCGCCGTCGCCGAGGCGCCGAAGAAGCCCGCCTGGGGCGGCCGGCTGCCGCCGAGCCTCCGCCTCGAGCCGGCCGACGACGGCGGCGGCGCCGCGGCCGCGGAGCGCGCGCCCGCGGACGCGCCGCCGGCGCCCGAGCCCGAGGCGGCCAAGCCCGCCGAGGAGCCTCCGGCGCCGCCGCCGGCGAAGCAGGAGCGCGCGAAGAAGGGCGACGGGCGCCGGCCGCGGGGCCAGAGCCACCGCGTCGCCGCGATGTACCAGACGCCCGCGGGCCCCTACGGCCAGCAGTACTTCTACGGCAACCCGCCGGAGGACGACCCCCACCGGCGGTCCCGCGAGGAGGCCGAGGGCGCCGCCTACCAGGCGCGCCGCGACTCCGTGTCGCTCGAGATGGAGGTCGAGCGGCGCCGCCGCATGGACGAAGCGGGCGCGCTCGACGCGGACGCGACGGCGGAGCGCGTCGCGCGGCGCGCCTGGGCCGCGGCCCAGCTCGAGAGCGAGTACGAGCGGCGCCAGCGGGAGCACGCGCGGCGCGTCGTCGAGCACGAGACGCGCGTGCGGGCCATGCGAAGCCGTTTGGCGTACGACGCGAACGACTTCGTCGCGTCGCTGGAGCGGGCCATGGCGCCCCAGCGCCGCGCGCGCACGGCCGTGCTCGACGAGGTGTCCCAGGTCGTCCGGTCCATCTGGTCCCACGCGGAGTGCTCGCTCTACGGGTCGTGCCTGACGGGGCTCGACCTGCCGTCGTCGGACGTCGACGTCGTCGTCCGCGGCCTCAACTGCGACCCGACGCCGAACCCGCCGGGCGCGGCGCCGCGGCGCGCCGACGCGACGCCGCCCGCGTCGCCCGCGTCCGCGCCGGACTCGGCCGAGCGGCGGCCGTCGAGCCCCCGGACGCCGCCGGGCGACCGCGGCAACGGCGCGCGGCGCCAGGCGACGCCGCCCAAGGCCGCCGCGCCGCGGTTGCCGCGCATCGACAGCGGCGAGGCCGTCGGCGCGGCGCCGTCGCCCGCGCCCGCGCCCGCGCCGTCGCCCGCGCCCGAGGACGCGCCGAGGCGGCCCGACAGCCCCGCGCGGCTGCCGCCGGCGAGCCCCGCGCCGCCGAGCCCCGCGTCGAGCGACACGCAGCCGCGGACGCGCAAGAGCAAGAACCGCAAGCGCAAGGGCGGCAAGTCCTCCGGCGGCGGCCGCGACGGCGAGGGCGACGACGACCGCGGCGTCGGCGGCCACAAGCCCAACTACGTCGGCCAGCAGTTCCTGCCGCCGGCCCAGTGCTACGGCCAGTTCCCCGTCTACATGCGCGCGCCGACGCCGCCGACGGGGCCCAACCCGGGCGTCGTGCTCAGCGTGAAGACGCTCGCGGCGGCTTTAGCCGACCTGCCCTGGGTCCGCGAGCTCAAGGCCATCGAGACGGCGAACATCCCGGTCATCAAGCTGCTGGCGGACCCGTCGGTCCTCGGCTGCCCCCTGCCGGAGTTCAAGCGGAATCGACGGCGCGCGTGCTCGGAGGACGCGGCGCAAGCCCTCGCGGAGACGGCGAGCCCCTGCGGCGACCTGCCGCTGCCGGACACGCGGCGCCGGCCCCAGGCCGTGGCCGGCGACGCGGCCGCCGCCGACGACGCGAGCGACCCGGAGAAGAGCGAGGCCGAGACGGTGGACGCGGGCCCCGGCGAGGCCGCGCCGACGTGGTGCGGCGCCGTCGGCCGCTGCGACGCGGGCCTGCTCGCCGTGGACATCTCCTTCGAGGCGCCGGACCACGGCGGCCTCGCGAGCTCGCGCTACGCGCTGGAGGCCATGTCGCGCTGGCCCGAGCTCGCGCCGCTCATGCTCGTGCTCAAGGAGCTCCTCGTGCAGCGGGGCTTGAACGAGCCGTTCACGGGCGGGTTGTCGTCCTACTCGCTGCTGCTCCTCGTGATGACGGCGCTGCTCCAGGCGGGCGTCGAGCCGCTCGAGGACCCCCTGCCGGAGCCCCGGCACATGACGCCCCTCGAGGACCGGCCCGAGGCCGAGGCGCCGGAGGAGCCGCCGAAGCCGGCGAAGCCGCCGACGTCCGTGCGCGAGGCGTGGGCGCGGCTCCGCGACGACCCGCGGCGCGCCAAGGCGCCCCTGCGCGACGGCGGGTCCGCCGCCGGCGGCCGGCGGCGGCCGTCGCTGGCGTCGAGGATACGCGGCGGCGACGCGCTGCTCTGGAACGGCGCGGAGTCGCGCGCGGCCTTCGACAAGGACGACGACGCGTTGGGCTACCTGCTCACGTTCTTCCTCGAGTTCTTCGGCCGCCACTTCGACCCCCAGCGCCACGCCGTGTCCGTGCTCCGCGGCGACGCGGGCATCATCGCCATGGCCGGGCCGGGCTACGCGGACGCGAACCAGTGGGTCGCGCCGCTCATCGAGGACCCGCTCGAGTGCTCGCGGAACGTCGCGCGGTCCTGCTTCGCCATCGCGCAGATCCAGAACGTCTTCGCCCACTGCCTCTGCATCCTCGAGAGCAAGGGCGCCGCCGCGGCGCTCCGCGACGACAGCTGCAACATCCTCTCCCTCGTCCTCTCCTACTAGCGGCCCGCGCCGCGCGGCCCACCGCGCGCCGCGCCCCTGGACACCGATTTGAACGCCCCTCCTTCGACACACCCCCGTCAACATGGCGCGCGCGGCTCGAGCCCCGGCTCCGCGCGTCATTAATAGTGAATCCTCTGAGCTCTAGAGTGTGCTGCCCAGGGCGCTGACCAGCGACTGAGGAGGCACCGTGCCCCACGAGGTGCCCCACGAGGTGCCCCACGAGGTGCCGCGGATCTTCGCAAGGGGCGCCGCGCCTTCCGAGAGCGGTCTGTTACGTATGATAGCACCTGCGAGCCGATACGCCCGCGTGACCTCCTTACTCTCGTGACGGTTAGTAAATTTGCAGATTTCCGCAATCTTGTTCAAGGCGTAGCGGAACACCTTGGAACGTCTTTCGGACGTGGTTTCGGAGAGGCTGTCCAGCAATGTCGTCGCCCGGTCGAGCTCGTCAAACGTGGGCCGACGGCCGTTCGTTTGTGCCATGAGTTCAAGAGCGCAAAGCGGAAACCGCCCATCGTAGCACTCCATCCACTTCCGGGCTATAGCGACTACTCGATCCATCGCCGCCAGAACGACTGGATCCGCCATGTCAGGAGGCTGCGCCTGTGCGGCGGGTTCGCCCTGCTCTTTCTGGCACTGGACGTGCCCTCCCGTGCAATCGAGGATGATGCCCAGCGTCGACAGCTTGTCACAGTCGGTCATGCTAGAACTATATACGCTTTGGGCAGCCTCGCGCACCCGAGCTAGGCTGTTCTCTGCTTCCAGAGCCCGAGCGGTCATTTCATGGAGCCTGGTCGTCTCGCACATGGGGCTCGGGTCTCGCGCGCAGCGCAAACAGACCGTGAAGGCGCAGTCGCTGTGGTAGGCGCAGAGCAGCTCGCTCGCGGGCAGCTCGAACGGGCTGATCAATGTATGCTGCACCTCAAACCTTTCAGCAAGCTTGAACAAACTCGAGCTCTTCGGAGTTGCGCCGCGGCTTCAAGGGCTGCCGCAGCTAGCCACGGCGGTGGACACCCCTAGGACGATGGGCGACGAAGTCGAGCGTCTCGTGCGTGGCTTCGAGGCGTACGCCGAGCGGTCCGGGCAGCGGATCGTGGAGCTGCGCGTGCCGGGCTGCGGGGCCGACGTCCACGTGACGGCGAAGTTCGAGAAGGAGGAGATGGTCGATGGGCGGGTCGGGGCTGCTCGGTGCGCGGCTCCCGACGCCGCCAACATTAGTTCTGGCATGCACGTGCCGGTCGAGATGGATGCGCACCTCGAGGAGCAGATGATCGACGTGACTCCAGAATCTTCCCCGCCCCTGGCAGAAGATGTCCTGCAAGACCATGAGCAGCAAGACATCCAGCAGCAGACCGTCACGCCGGCGGAGCCGCGAGTAACGCGCCCGCTAGTTCAAGACAGGAATCCGAACGCGAAGTTCGACTGCCTGTTGAGATTGGCGAGACAGATTCGGGAAAACGTGACGAAATTGGCCGCGGCGAACCACTCGTTGATCGAATTGGAACTAAAAACTCGCCAGGAAACGACGCTCAGAGCGATCGAGTCCCACGAGGAATGCGCCAAGGGCGTTCAGCAATTGCAAGCTAAAATCGTGGAGGCAATCGCCGAGATCGACACGCCGGAGCCCCAGGTCGCGCATCCGCGCGTGGAAGGCGCGAATTCAGAATTCAAACGAAACGCTCTGATTTCAATTGGGGCTCAGATTGTGGAGAATGAAAAAACGACCTTGAGGGAGGTCACAGAAGGTAACAAGATTGAAGCTGACATTTCGGATAAAAGAAACGCTCGAACGACCGCAGCCCACGCAGACCGTTGCCAGAGCATTGCGGAAATGCAAAAGGAGATCCTCGCGCAGCTCAAGGACATCCCCTGATTTGCGTGCAAGTCCCCCAAGGGTGCCCCTAAGACAGGTTCTAATTTTGAACCGGCGCATGCGCCGCCACCCCGGAGGACCCGAAGCCCATCGGCCGGACGACCGCGGTCTCGAGGGACGCGCGGCGCCGCTGGCGCTCGCGCTTCGTGAGCTCGTAGACCGCGCGCTTCAGCGCCGCGTTCTCCGCCTGGAGGCGGTCCGCGCGCGCCGTCGCCTCGCAGAGCGCGCCGGCCGGGTCGTGGCGCGGCGCGCCGGCCGGCTCGAGGGGGTTCGCGGGCGTCCGACCGCCGTCGAAGACCACCGGCCAGCACTTCTCGAAGCCCCAGGTCGCGTCCGCGTTCTCCGGGTGGCCCGCGTGGTGCGCCGCGACGCCTCCGTGGTCGTGGTCTACCAGGTGATGCGCCACCTGCCAGAACGTCGCGCTCCGCGCGCGGATGACCTCCCCGCTACAGGCCATCGTCGCGCCGTGCGGGAAAAACAAGTCGTACTTCCAGTCCGCGGCGAAGAGCGTGTGGTACATCTGGACCAGGCCGTGCGCCGGGTGGCCCGCCATCCAGCGCGGGACGAACTTGAGCGTGCCCGCGGGCACGTAGCCCTCGACGCGCAACGACCCGTCGAGCACCTCGTCCAGAAACGCGTAAAAGTCGGGCACCTTGTCCGTCGGCGCGGCCTGCGAGAAGACGACGACGGCGGGCAGCGCGTCGTAGTGATCGCGCACGTAGTCGATGTAGGACGCGCCCTCGCGGCCCCGGTTGGGCTTCGCGACGACCTCCAGACGTTCGTGCGCGAGGACCGCCGCCGGCAACTCCGAGCCCTTGTTGTAGATCGCGAAGCGGACGTTGGGGTACGACAGGATCCAGGAGACGTCCTCCTCGTAGCGCGCGAGCACGACCGTGACGTCCACGGCCGGCGCCGCGTCGTTGAGTCGGAGAGGCGACGGCGTGCAGGCGCGCTCGGTGTGCCACTGCCGCTTGCAGGCGACGGAGTCCACCTCGTACTGCCGATGGCGCGGATCCGACCGGTAGGCGTAGGCCTCGTAGCTCGTCCGCCGCGGCGGCGCGGGTTCAGGCGGAGCTGCTGCATCGGCAGTCTCTCCGGTCGTCCGTCGCGGCGGCGCGGCTTCAGGCGGAGCTGCTGCATCGGCAGCCTCTCGCCGCGGCGGCGCGGTTTCAGACGGAGCTGCTACCTCGACATCCTCTCCGGTTGGTTCCATCATGATCACAATGCGCCTCTTCAATAAACCCAACCTTGAAGCGCGGGAGAAGGTCGACGAGCGTATCGACGATCTCGATAGACGAAGCTCGTTTGATCGGAGGCGGCGGTCATGCTCCCCCCCCCAGCGCGCGCGCCGAAGAGCCAGGTGGAAGTGGTGGTTTTTAGAGGCGGTCGTGACCCCGGCGGCGCGCGGCGGCCGCGCCGCCGGGTCCGCGGAGCGACCCGCGGTGGCGCGGCCCCGCCTAGACCTTGAAGCCGCGGGAGTGGCGGCGGCCGCGGGCCTTCTCGAACTTGCGGCCCTTGGCGCGGACGTAGGGCTTGACGCCGCAGTGCGTCTTGACGGACGTCGTCGTCGAGCGGTGGCCAAAGTGCGAGTAGACCTCGCGCGCCTTCTTGGGGCCGCGGAGGAGCACCGTGTTGGAGCCCTTGGGCGCGCGGAGCGCCAGCTGGTCGAAGGTGAGGCACTCGCCGCCGGCCTTGACGATGCGCGCGCGCGCCGTCTCGGTGAAGCGGAGCGCGCAGACCGTCATCTTGGGGACCGTGAGCATGCGCGGGTCGTCCGTGATCGTGCCGACGAGCACGGCGATCTTGTCGTCCTTCTCGCGCATGAAGCGCGCGAGGGCCGAGAGGGACAGGGGCGGCCGGTTCGTGCGGCTCATGAAGAGGCGCTTGAGCACCGTCTTCACGAACGCGCTGTCCGTCCGCCGCGCGAGGAAGCGGTAGAGCTTCACGAGGAGCTTGAGGTAGACGTTCTCGGACTTGGTGTCCGTGCGGGCCTTGTGGCCCACGCGGCGGCCGCCGGCGACGATGTCAATGCCCATGGTTTCGACCTAAAGAGGCGGGGGGCGGCGTTGGATTTCCGGTCGACGGGCAGTTGGGGAGGGGATGCGGCGGGGGCGACGGCGGCGGTGGCGACGGCAGCGGCGGCGGCGACGGCGGCCCCGGACCGCTGCGCCGCGCGCCCGCGGCCGGGGGCCGCGGTGCGACGGCGACTGCGGCCGGGCCGAGACCGCCCGCACCGTCGCGCCGACCCCGGGCCCCGGGCGCGGCGCGACGGCGCGGGCGGCGCCGCACGACGTCCGCGGGACCTTGGGCCGGGGTCGCAGTCGTCGCGCGGCAGTCCCGCTCCGCGGACAGCCGACCGCGCGCCGTCGCCGGGGCGAGACGGCGTCGGAGAGCGTCTCCGGCGCGGCCGCGGCCCAGGAACGTCGCGCGTCGCGTCGCAGAGCCGCCGTACGATGCCACAGTGCCGCCATGCCGTCACGTTGTCACGCCGTCGTCACAGGGTGGGGGAGGGCAGCGCGCGCAGCTCACCTTGAGCGAGGACGACGGTCCGAGGAGCGAGGACGGCCTGAATCGCCGACGGGCGAGGGTTTGGGATTGGGAAGTTCACCTCCGACCATAGGCACTTTTGGCTCCGGGCAGCCGAAACGCGATGGACGCCACATAACATATGCTCCAGTGGCACGAGTTCCTGTGCTGCGGCGAGGGCGCCAGCGAGGGCGACACGACGGCGGGCCCCGTGGAGGTGCCGCTGGACGAGGACGACCACGAGAGCGAGGGCGGGATCGCGGGGCTGGCCGTCGGCGGGATGAGCGGCATGGCCGGCGTCCAGTTCGACGGCGGCAAGGGGAGCCGCGGGCGCGTCGTGCCCCTGGAGCTGCTGGCCATCAAGGCGAAGCACCTCGGCAAGGACGACGCGGACCGGGAGGCCGTGGTCGGCCAGCGGCGCCGCGCGAGCCGGTGGGTCGGCGCGCTCCGCCCCGACCAGCGCCGCGCGTCGCGCGTCGCCCTCGAGCCGCTGCCGACGCTGAGCCGCCAGCAGGTGCGCATGTCGCAGCTCGGCGAGGCGCGGCGGGGCGACGTGGTCGCGAACGTCGAGAAGGCGTCGAAGCTCGCGCGGGACCGGCGCGAGCCCGAGACGAAGCCCGACGCCGCGCTCGAGGCGCGGCTGGGGACGCTGAACCTGAGCCAGCACATGATGCAGGGCGACGGCAACTGCCAGTTCCGGGCCTTCGCGTTCAACTTGTTCGGGACGCAGAGCCACCACCTGGTGGTGCGACGGGCGGCGTGCGAGCAGATGGCCGCCCACGTCGAGTACTTCGCGGCCTTCTTCGCCGACGAGGCCGAGTTCCGCGACTACCTGCGGGGCATGGCCCGGGACCGGACCTGGGGCGACGAGCTCACGCTCCGCGCCGTCGTCGAGGCCTACGGCTGCGTCGCGCACGTGCTCACGTCCGAGGCGCGGAACTGGTACCTCGTCTACACGCCCGAGTCGACGGACGTGGACCTCGCGGCGTCGTCCGTGCCGGAGAACTACCAGGCGCCGCCCCAGGGCAAGGAGGTCTTTCTTTCCTACGTGTCGCCCGTGCACTACAACGCGGTCGTCGCGTCCGTCGCGTCGAAGGGCGCGCCGGCCTACGGCGAGGCGCCGCCGACGCCCCGGCCCATCGACTCGCCGCGGCTGTCCTAATTCGGAACTTGTGTGGTCCGGGTGGGCGGCGGACCCGGAGCGAGATGTCGCGGCCTGCCGCGCGCGGACCGCGGCTCGCCGCCGCCGCGCGGGCTGCAGCAAGAGCAAGCACATCGGCTGCGTCACCAGCACCGCGTGCTAGCCGCAGCTCGAACGCACTTGCTCGAGCGCAACGCTTGCTCGAACGCAGCCATGCTCGCACGCATCGCGCGCCGCGGCGCAAGACCCGCGCGCTGCCTGTCGACGAGACCCGCGAACCAAAAAGCCGTCGAAGACATGCGTTCGAACTACACGAAAGGCAGCCTCGACGAGTCCAACGCCGGCGACGACCCGCTGCGACTCTTCCAGCGCTGGTTCGACAAGGCCGTCGCGGCGAAGCTGCTCGAGCCGAACGCGGTGACGCTGTCGACGGTCGACGCCGCGACGATGCAGCCGTCGAGCCGCGTCGTGCTCCTGAAGGGCTTCGACGAGAGCGGCTTCACGTTCTACACGAACTATGCCGGCCGCAAGGCCCGCGAGCTGGCGGCGACGCCGAAGGCCGCCATGAACGTCCTCTGGCTGCCGCTGGAGCGCCAGGTGAGAATAGAGGGCACAATCGCCAAGGTCGGCGCGGCGGAGACGGAGGCCTACTTCCGCTCGCGGCCGCGCGCGAGCCAGATCGGCGCCTGGGCGTCGCGCCAGAGCGCCGTCGTCGGCTCGGCCGCCGAGCTCTCGGACCGCGAGGCGGAGCTCGAGCGGCGCTTCGAGGGGCGCGACGTGCCCCTGCCGGATTTTTGGGGCGGCTACCGGCTCCGGCCGACGATGATCGAGTTCTGGCAGGGCAAGCAGAGCCGCCTCCACGACCGCATCGCCTTCCGCGCCGCGGACGCGGGCGCCTGGACGCGCGAGCGCCTCGCGCCCTGAGTGGGCTTTTAATGGAGCGGGGTCTTCTTCTTCTCATCGGCGCTCTTTTGTGCGACGCCGCGTCTAGACGCCGCGTCCTGATGCGCTCGGGACCAGCGGAGAGGCCCAGGCTGCAGCTGCGGTGAGTCGCCGCGAGCCTGCCGCGGCCGACCGACCCTGGACCGACCCCCGGCCACAGACAGCTCGACGATAGCCGCACTGCGGACTGGATTAGCACGACGTGCCGCAGCCGCAGCAACGTCGCAAACCGCGCCGTCGAGTAGCGCGAGGTCGGCTCCACACCTGCGAGCTCGTCGCGACCAAAAAAAGAGACGATGAAGCCCGCGCACGAAGTGATGGACCCGTCGCCGGAGCTCGAGCGGGTGATCCTGAACTTCGGCCCGCTCGACTACCTGACGATCGGCGCGTTCACGTTTTTCAACGCCGCGGGCGGCTACGCCTACGGTGCGCGCGCCCCCCGCCGCTCGCCCCGCGCGCCGCGCGCGCGTCCGACGGCCGCTCCCCCGCAGGCGGCGTGCTCAAACGCCCGACGGCGGGCACGATGGCCATCCTCGGCGGCCTCGCCGGCTTCCTGCACTGCTACACGCAGACGAGCTTCAAGCTCATGGGCATCAAGCCGGGCGGCGGCTGGTTCTAGGTCCGCGCGGCGCGCGAGCCGGGCGCGCGCGTAAGGCAGCCGGCTCCTGTCGCGACGGCGTCGTCGTTCGGCGGGGCGCAACAAATCCGCGTGTGTGTCGGGATTTGATGCGGCGCGGCGAGAGGAGCCAGGGCATGCGTCGCGCTGCCTCCGGGTCGATCCGCCGCGGGCGGCCCCGGGGCGGCGCGCGAAGCCACAGCGGCTGCGCTGCTTCTCGACGCTGCGCCCACTTCTAGCGTGCTAGCCCGCGCAGTTACACGCAAGTTTGCGCTCCTGGACCCGCCGCAGACGCGCCTCTCGTCACTGCAATATGCGTCCTTGAAGGGATCGAGCAGGGTGAGGAGAGCAACATGATCTGCGAGCCGATGGCACGTGTTTTGTGCCTCGCGTCAGCCGCAACGGCGCTGGCATGGGGCGACTTCAGAACGCCGAAGCTCGCGAAGAACGCGAAGCCGTCGAAATACGCGCTGGCGCCGCCGACGGCCGCTGCCCAGGGCTTCGTCATCCGCGAGAAGCTCTTCAGCATCTCCGGCGAGGATTTCACCATCGAGGACGAGGCGGGCCAGCCGGCCTTCGACGTCGTCGGCAGCAACAAGGTGCCCTTCGGCCTCGGCGGCTTCGTCCTCGACAAGCTCGAGTTGCGCGTCGCGGGCGCGCGGAAGATCTGCGCGAGCATCGAACGGCGCGCCGTCGCGCTCGCCACGGCCTACGACGTCTACCTCGACGGCGAGTGCATCGCGAAGATCGAGCGCGACGTCGTCTCGCTGACGCCGTCCTACAAGTTCTTCTACGAGGCGGAGAACGACGGCAACCCGTGCTACCGCGCGTCGGGCAGCTTCAGCGAGCGGCGCTACGACATCTACGCCCGGGACGGCTCCGAGGTCGCGACGATCGGCCGCCAGCTCTTCGAGCTGCTGGAAGACACGAAGGACACGTATCACCTCCGCGTGGCCGCGGGCGTCGACGCCGCGGCCGTCGTCGCGCTCGCCGTCGTCATCGACGAGGACCACGACGAGGCCGACGCGAAGAAGGCCAAGGAGGACAAGGACGAAGGCGGCTGGTTCGGCAGGTAGTAATGTTATCTATACAGCCTGGTGACGCCCATCGTGGCCAAGAGCCCCAGGACGGACGCGAGCCCCGCCTCGTCGCGCGACACGGGCGCCTGGATCAGCCGCTCGAACGCGAGCCAGAAAGGCGCCGCCCCCGCGACGGTGACGGCCGTGCGCCGCAGGCCGGCCTCCGAGTCCGCCGGCGAGAACTGCTTCGTCAGCGCGCCGACGGCGACCCAGAGCACGGACAGGCACGACGACGACGCGACGACGGCCGCGAGCGCGGACAGGTCGGCGACGGTGAAGCCGGGCACCGCCTTGGGCGGGTTGTGCGTGAGCTCGCGGCAGAGCTCGCGCGCGAGGCAGTGGCACCAGAGGATGGTGACGTCGAGGCGCACCTCGAGGGCGTCGATGTCGTCGTCCGGCGCGGCGAAGGCGCGCGCGCGGTCTCTGCTGTGTTTCCGCAGCGGTGCGCGACGTGGTGTGGGTGCGACGAAGCTGTTCGCGAGCGCTGCGGCCCAGCCGAACCAGAGCAGCGCGCGCATGGCTCGACAGGGTGCGTGAAGCGCCGCAGCCGGCGGGCTCAGGATGACTGCTCTTGCAGGGCAAGTTGCGAAGTTGCTGCTGCTGCTACCAGGGTTAGTCCGGCTCGTCGACGCGCCTGGGCCGGCCCTGGGGCTCGGCGCTCTCCCCCGGCCGCCGGTCCATGGCGGCCGCGGAGAGGTCCCCCGCGGCGAGCGCGTCGCGGACGACGTCCGACGGCGGCGGGAGCTCCGCCGCCGCGGCCGCGTCGCGGCCCCGGTTCGTGCGCCGCGCGCGCCGCGTGACCTCGTCGGCGAGGCGGACGCGGAACTTCTTCGAGTTCTGCTCGCCGCCGAAGAGGTAGAAGAGCGGCCGGTAGAGGCAGTCCTCCGCGACGTCGAGCGCCGCGTACTGCTCGTCCGCGTAGTCGAGGTAGGCCTCGAGCACGTCGCGCCGCGACGCCGCCGGATCCGACGCCGCGCCGTAGAGGGCCGTGTCCGCCGTCGCGAGGAGGTCCCAGGGCTGGTACCACGCCGCGCGGCCGACCATCGTACTGTGCACAGGGGGTAGCCCGTTCCACCCGGACAGGTGCGCCGCGCAGTCCTCGAGGGACCGCAGCATGCCGTTCATGGCGAATGTGCAGTCCGGCAGGTCCCGCGCGAGCCTGTGCGCCACGTCGGGCTTCAGCGGCGGGATCGTCCGGTTCTGCTGCGTCGAGAACTTCTTGTCGAGGACCGCCTCGCGCGCGTGTAAAACAAAGTGGCGGCAGCCCGCGGCCCGCGACGCGCGGACGAACGCCAGCGTCGTCGCGTAGTCGGAGCCGCTCAGGTCCGTGCCCAGGCGGTGCTTGACCGTGACCGGCGTCGACGGGCAGCGGCGGATCAATTCGTGGACGATGCCCCGGACCTTCTCCGGGTCCAGCATCAGCCGCGCGCCGAACTCGTTGCGCGCCGCGACGACGTTGCTCGGGCAGCCGCAGTTCAAGTTGATCTCCACGCAGCTGTCGCCGAAGTAGTCCACGCACAGCGCCGCCGCGTCGCCGAGCGCCTTCGCGTCGTTGCCCCCGAGTTGCACCGCGACGGGCGCCTCGCACGCGTCGTGGCCCAGGAACTGCGTCCCGCCGAGGTTGTGCGCGTTGTGGTTTAAAGCGTTGTCCACGACCATCTCCGTGTAGAGTAGCGTCTTGCGCGACATCTGCCGCGCCATCCAGCGCCAGTGCCGGTCCGTGACGCCCATCATCGGAGCGACGGAGAAGGGGTAGGCGTAGGGCGGCGCGGCGCTGGAGGACGTGCCGTCGCGCGGCGCGCCCGAGTCGTCGAAGGACGCCATGGCGTGTGCGCTGCAGTGCTCAAGGGTGCGAAGCCATCATGACGGTGTTCGATCGATCGCCCGGCGGGCCGCCGCATGGACGCGTCCGACGCCGTCGACACCGACGCCGTCGACACCGACGCCGTCGACGGCGCCCGCGCGGCCGACGGCGCCGGCGCACGCCCCAGCGAAGACAAGACAGACCACCTAGTAATAGAGCACCGTCGGCTGGGACGCGTTGTAGAGGACCTCCACGGACGCCTTGGGCACGTGGCCCGGGAGCGGGAAGCCGAGGTCTAGACAGAGGAAGAAGACGTAGCCGATGTAGAGCGCGGGCAGCAGGAGGCCCGCGGCCATGTCGATCTTCCCCGCGAGGGCCCGGCCGATCTCCTCCGTGAGCTCCTTCGTGTCGTTCTCCTCGACGACGCCCTTGTCCGCGAGGAACACGGACGACCGCCCCGAGTCGAAGCGCTCGAGCGGCGGGTTCCACTCGTACTTCTCGCCCGGGTCGCCGCCGCCGTCGTCGCCGGGCGGCCGGAAGATGCCGTCCGTGAGGGCGCCGAGCAGGTCGCCCTCGCTGCCGCCGACGACGGACCGCGCGCTGTCCGCGCCGACGACGGACCGCGTGGAGTCCGTCGCGTCGAGGGCCTTCGTGGACCCGGCGTCGTCGAGGCGCGGCGGCCGCGGCGGCGCGTCCGTCCGCGGCTCCGGCGATATGGACGAGGCGCGCTGCTTCATGAGGCTCCGCCGCTTCACGGCGCCGACGCGCCGCCGGTGCTCGCGGTCGATGAAGTGCTTCAGCAGGCCGCCGATCAGAAAGTTGTGGCTCGTCGCGAAGACGTTCGCCTGGCAGATCTTGTCGACGACGGCGTCCCAGACGTCGAAGGGCACGGGGTCCCTCCCGCAGAGGCGCAGCACCTGCTTCATCTCCTTGTCGCTGAGGCCCAGGGACCGCACCGCCTTGCGCAGCTCGTGCTGGTCCAGCACGCCGTCGTTGTCCTCGTCGGCGGAGAAGAACGCGTCGAGCAGCGTCCGCCGGCTCTTCATGCCGTTGTCCTCCGACGTGACGAGGCAGAGGCTCACCGTGACGATGGAGACCATGAGCGTCAGGAGCGCCGTCGCGAAGGAGCTCAGGTAGATCTTCTGGAGGAAGGTGACGACGTTGTTCTTGGGCAGGATGTCGACGACGATCCACAGGATCGCGACGATGGTCAACACCACGGTGATGCCCAGGCCGATGCGCTCGCCCGCCGCGGGGTTCACCAGGAACGTCAGGAACCCGATGAGCGTCGACATGAACAACGGGAACATGAGGCACCAGATGTAGAACCGCGACCGCCGCTTCAGCACGAGCGTGTACCGCAGCGCGTAGTAGGGCGTGCCCGGGCAGCAGGAGTAGTACGTCTCGGCCCGGTCCGCGAGGACCTTGACGAGGTCGTACTCCTCGATCTCGCCCAGGGAATCGAGGTCCAGCCACGTGCTGTCGCGGAGGTCCCGGCCGCCACGCGACGGCCAGATCTCGACGCCGAGGCCGTCGTAGGCCCAGGCGCCCACCGTGAAGTCGCAGCGCTGCTTGTCGAAGGGGAAGAGCGCGAGGTCCATGTCGCAGAACAGCGTGAGGTGCAGGGGCCGCGACAGGAAGACGCGGCCCTCGTGCGACACCTGCGCCGTCGCGCTGTTCACGTCCGAGAGGTACGTGTACTCGCTCGGCGACGACTCGAGGACCTACAACAATAAACATAAATAACTCAGCAACACGCGCGAGACGCCGGCGCACCGACGCCCGTGTCCGGGACCCAGATCTCCTTGTCCTCCTCGTGGTACGCGACGAACTCGGTGACGTTGTTCCAGTCCTTCGGGTCCCAGCTGAGGCGCGCGTCGGTCCAGTAGTGGCGCCACCAGGCGACGACGTCCACGGTCTTGTCCGCCGCGTTGACCTGGATTTTAAAAATGGACGGGTGGATCTCCAGCGCCAGCGGCGCGTCGGGGATGATCGTCGGGTCGTAGTCCTCGAGGAGATGGGCCTTGAGGTCGCCGCCGCCGTTGGCCGCGCAGGCCAGGGCCGCGGAGGCGCCCGGCGCCACGACGGCGAGCAACAATGCGAGCATCGGGGGGCAGGCTATGCGCTACGCAGTTAGAACGCATCTCCATAGTGGTTAATGAAGCTCGATGAAGAGACATTTACCCTGTGTTGCAGCCAGATCAGCAATCAATGGCAATGCATAGATCGGCAGTTCTTCTCGGCGTCGTCGCCGCGTGCACGTCTGCGCTGCAGCCGTTGCGGCAGCGCCTCGCGCCGCGTCGCTCGAGCCACCGCCTCGCGCCGCGCGCCTCTTTGGAGGGCGCGACGCACGCATGCTCGCTCGACTTCGGCCGCGAGACGGGCACGTGGATGCCGCCGCGCTGGGCGAGCTACGGACGGACGGAGTTCGCGCTGGATTTGAAATACGCGGCCGGCGGCGTCGTGGAGGTCGTCGACGGCCCGCGGCCGCTGCGGGGCCTCGCGCTCGGCACGAACTACCGCTGGGCCGTCACGGGCGGGACCTGGAAAATCGACACGGACCCGAAGACGCGGCAGTCGACGCTCCGCGTCCAGCTCGCGCACGACGGCCTGAGCGTCGCGGACTGCGTCCTCGACGCGGGCGACGTGTCGCTGTCCATCCCCGTCTTCGTGGGCCAGTCCGGGACGACGGTCTCCCGGAAGGAGGGCCTCATGTCCGTCGTCGCCTACCGCCTCCTCGTGCGCAAGGAGCGGCGCCTGGTCGGGGTCTTCTACGCGCAGGATAAGCACGCTTAGAGCGCCGCGAGGTCCGCGTCGTCGACCGCGTCCTCGACGGCGTCCGCGGGCGTCGCGTCGAGGTGGACCGCGTCGAGGAGCTCGTCGAGCTTGATGGCGTCGGGGTCCTCGGCCGGCGCGTCGTCGAGCACGCCGCTCGGGTCCTTGTACAGGTTCACGCGGCCGCGCATGTCCCGGTCCGTCTCGAGCTGCTGCCGGAAGATCTCCAGGTCGCGCTCGCGCGTCTCCGCGGCGAACTTGCCCGCGTCGTCGTCGTGGGTCTCGTCGACGTCGAGGTTGTCGAGGCGCCAGGCGCGCTTCTTCGCGCCCGCGGCCTCGCCGTCCTCGTCGTCCTGCATGGACTGGGGCGCCTTGCGCACGAGGACGACGTCCGGCGCGCCGAGGCTCTCCAGATCCGCGTCGCATTCCCCGGGCAAATTCGTCGCCCGCAGGTCGTAGCCCATGACCTTGTCGCCCGCGCGCAGCAAAGCGCCGAGGTGCGTGCGCACGAGCAGCGTCGCGTCGTTGCGGCCGAGGTCGGCCTCGCGCGCCAAAGTGACGTCGGCGACGTAGCCGCGCACGAGGCGGACGCCGCCCTGCGTCGCGTGGGCCGACCGGCGCCGCTTTTTGGATTTTTCTTCGTCGGCGGGGGCCTTTTTCAGCGTCACGGGCGCGACGCGGTCGCTGTCGAGCACGACGAAGGCCTCGAGCTGGCCCGCGGACACCAATACTCGCGGCGGCGACCGCCAGTACGCGTCCGCGCCGAGCTCCGCCAGCTGGGCCGTGCGCGGGTCCACCAAGCGCACGACGGCGTTGACGGAGCGCACGAGGACGACGCGCGGCAGCGACCCTAACCGCGCCGCGGTCCGCGCGTCCAGGAGCACCAGATCGTCCTTGCACGCGGGCGCCAACTCCACGAGCGACGTGTACTGGTGGTTGAACAGGTTCGAGTGCGTGTCGGCGGACACCAACTTCTTCGTGTCCTTGACCTTCGTGGGCACGCAGTCGTTCAAAAAGTTGACGAAGCGCACGGCGTCGTTCTTCGCCTTGAAGAAGAAGTCCAACCCGTCGCGGAACTGCTCGATCTTGACCGCCGCGGCCTGGGCGTGCTTCTTGAGGATGACCTGCTCGAGGTAGAAGAAGGTGCGCTTGTGGTCCACGCGCTGGCGCACCTGGACGGACGCCGTCCAGGCCATGGACGCGAACGCCGCCTGGCAGTCGCCGCACTGCTGGTTCCGCACCACGAACTCGCAGAGCAAGGGCTGCTGCATGATCGCGCCGTTGTCCACCTCCTTCTGCACCGTGAGCTCCACCTTGAGGCGCATGGAGTGGGGCTCGGTCCAGATCCACGCGGCGTCCGCGACCTTGACGCGCTTGAGGCCCTTGACGCGCTTGAGGCAGAGCGCCATGAGCTCGCGCGACTCGAGCTCGGCCTCGACGTAGGTCGTCGGGCCCGCGCAGTAGCGCAGGCAGCGCCGGCACTTGAACAGGTTCGTGCTCGTGCAGATGCCCTCCGTGATGTCGATGCGCGCGCGCAGGCAGTTCACGCAGGTCGACGTCGGGTTCACGGACACGTCCAGGCCCACGCCGCACTCGCAGCAGCGGCCCAGGAGCACGTCCGGGCGCGGCGCGTCCGTGGCCATGGCGTCGTCGTGCCGGGGGGGCACCTCGACGCGCTGCATCGCGCCCTTGGTCGGCGGCGCGGCCGAAGCAGAGACGGGCGATGACACCAGGGGAGGGCAATATTGTCGGCAACGAGACTTCACAAAGCAGTTCACTTCAGTATCAAGGCTGATCTCGGCCGAGTTGTGTGTGTGCCAGCCCCTCGTCGCCTTCGGAAATTAACAATGAGTGATATTGTGCGTCGCCCCTTCCCCTCCCCCCTCCCGCGCAGCCCCTCGCCCCCGCGCGTCCGCGCGGCGTCGGACGGCGCGCGTCCCAGGTGCGCTACAATCAAAAGAATGGGGGCCACCTCAAGAACGGCACGGAGCTCAGCGCGTCGCCGCGTCCTGCCGCCGCGCGCGCCCCGCCGCGCGACCCCGCCGCGCCGCGCGCTCGACGCCGTCTGCGCCGTCGGGGGGTCCGAGACTGCAGCCGGGGACGATCGCTTTGCCGCCGCGCGCGTGACGGCCGGCCTCGACGCGCGGACTCGCGTAGGCGGCTGGTTCTACCCGCAAGCGGAGGTGCGCACGACGGTGTCGCTGCCCCAGCTCGGCCTCTGCGACGACGACGGGCCCGACGGCGTGAAGAACCAGGGCAACCAGCAGGGCGAGTGGTTCTGGTGCGACAGCCGAATGGAGATCTCCTAGCGCGCCCCGCGGAAAGCCCGGAGGAGCTGCCGCCACCGCCGACCGGCGCACGCCGCTTCGTAAGAAGATTTCACCGTCGTTCGCTCCCACGGAGCCAGGTTCTCCTGGCCGCGAGAGGCCCGGAGGAGCTGCGCCCGCGCGCGTCGACCGCCGATTGGTCGCCGCCAGTGGAGCGGCCCGATCTCGCCAGGAACGTCGAGTTGGTGGCGATGTAGTAAAGCTGAGTACGATTGTGACGCTAGGGAGGCGTCCTGAAGAGGGCGGCCGCATCGACTGGTCCTGGGGCGCGCGGCTGATTCCGCAACTTGCCGTCTAATTGTAGTGCAACAACTCGGGGCCGTCGCCGCATCACATGGGAGAGCGAGATCTTGAGCTTGCGCTGCACACAACAACCTTGGCCGCGCTCGCCGCTCTCACAATGGGTGCGAGATCTTGAGCTGCCGCTGCAACAAGTGCAACAAATTTGCTGTCCAAAACACCAAGAAGATGGGAAAAAAACGTAACAACAAGAAGAAGGGCTCAGGAGCGGCGTCGGCGCCGCCGCCGGTTCCGCACGATCCGTCGCCGCCGCCGGTTCCGCGAGATCCGTCGCCGCCGCCGCCGTCGCCGCCGCCGCACGTCGAGGAGGAGTCGCCGGCGGCGCCCGTCCGGCACGGCATCGAGTCGTACGTTCCCGGCACGCGGGTCCGCATCTCGGGCCTCGCGGGCGCCGTCGCGCTGAACGGGCGGCGCGGCCTCGTCGTCGCGCGGAGCGGCGACGAGCGCGTCGCCGTGCTCGTCGACGACGACCGGAGCAACCGGGACATCATCGAGCGCCCCATCGCGTCCGCGAGCAGCCTCGACAAGGCCGTCGGCGTCCGGGCCGCGAACCTCGAGATCGTGCCGTGGCCGAGCGAGCGCATCCCCATGTCCGCGTTCCACTGGCCCGAGCGGCGCCTCAGCGCGGAGCAGCTCTACTCCGCCGCGCGGACGCTCCTCAAGGACTACGGCGCCGCGGCCTTCTTCGAGCTGCAGCGGCGGGGCCTGGGGCCGCGGAAGCTCCTCATGGCGTGCTGCAACGACCAGGGCAGCAAAAGAGAGCGAAATTCCCAACTTCAAAGGCTCCGATCTCGGCCGTTTTTGACTGGTTTTGGCTGATTTTTGGACGAGCGATCATCTCTCGGAACTGCCTCGAAGCGTGGATGCTTTTTCCGGAACGCGCGCGCGCGGAACACTCACGTTGAAGCGACGTTGAATCACTCTTTTGCTGCCCAGGCAACGACGCCGGCTACGAGGACCTCGCGGCGACGTGCGTGCGCATGGGCGCGCGCGGCGACGACGCGCGCGTCGACTCCGACTCGCACGCGCTGGCCATGGCGGCGCAGTACGGCGCGCTGCGGACGCTCGAGCTGCTGCTGCGGCCCGCGGCCGGAAAACCCGTCGACGTCGACGTGGAGACGTCGGAGACGGGCATGACGGCCCTCTGGACGGCCTGCGACCACGGCTACTGGCCCGCGGCCGAGCTCCTGATCCGCGCGGGCGCGAACGTCGACGCGCGGAAGCGCCTGCCCAAGGGGACGCCGTGCCTCGGCGTCGCGGTGCAGAACGGCCACGCGGCGACGGCCTTCCTGCTGCTGCGGCGCGGCGCGGACCCGAACGCGGAGAGCGCGGGGGGCGCCAACGCCGTCGGCACCGCCGCGCTCTGCGGCTGCCTGGACCCGAAGAAGAAGGGCCTCGAAAAGCCGCTCGTCGCGCTGCTCCTGCGCCACGGCGGCACGCTCGCGGAGGAGGTCACGGACCAGGTCGTGCGGAACCTCGACGACGGCTCGCTCATGCGGTGCCCGGACGACGTCAGGCGCCTCGCGCGCGACGCGCGCGACTTCGTCTCGGACGACGCGCTCCTCGCCGCGCTCGTCGAGGCCGAGCGCCCGGACGAGTTCCGCGAGCGCGCGGCGGCGGCGGGCAACGCGTCGAGCGCCGCGCGGACGATGGCCGACGAGTGGGCCGGCGACGGGCCCCGGTCGCCGCGGCAGCACCTCGCCGCGGCCCTGCAGCTCGCGTTCCAGGCGACGCTCCGCCGCCGGGACGAGGCGGGCATGGAGCGCCTCGCGGCGCTCGGCGCGTTCGTCTCCAACCCGGGCCAGTGGACCCACGCCGCCGCGGCGGCCCACTGCGACGCGGCGCTCGCCGGCGCGTCGCCGTCGCTCGCCGTCGCGGCGCACTTCGTCAAGGTCCGCTGCCTCGAGCGCGTCGACGACTACGCGCCGGGCCCGCCCCTCGCGGCGCTGCGCGACGCGCTCGCGCTCCGCGGCGACCCCGCGCTCGACGCGACGGCCCGCGCCGCGCTCCGCGTCCTCGACGCGGACGCGCCGCGCCTCGTCGCGGCCCGCTACGGCGCGCCGGGCAGCGACGGCCGCGTCGTCGTCCTCAGGCGGCGCGCGCTCTACGAGAAGGAGGCGACGCCGCCGGACCTCGTCGGCGCCGCCGTCGCGGCGGCGCCCGGCGGCGTCGTCTACCGCCTCTTCGGCTGCCCGCTCTGCAGCGACGCGTCGGAGCGCGACGCGCACCTCGTCCGGGCCGTGAACTGCGTCTGGCGCTTCGACGCGGGCCGGGGCGCCTGGGCCGAGGTCGCGACGTCGGGCGCGGCGCCGCGGCCCCGCCAGGACGCGGCCGCCTGCTACCGGCCCGCGACCAACGCCGTCGTCGTCTGGGGCGGCGACCTCCGCGCGGCCCGCCAGGGGCCGAGCGTCACGGAGGGCGGCGTCCACGAGCTGTCGCTCGACACGCTCGCGTGGCGGCGCTTGGACGCGCCGGGCGCCAAGGCGCCCAAGGCCCGCATGGGCCACCGCATGGTCATCGTCGACGACGCCCTCTACGTCGTCGGCGGACAGACCGCGCACTGCAGAAGCGTCTACGAGTCGAGCGTCGTGCTCCACTGCCGCCTGTCCACGGGCGCGTGGTCCAAGATCCGCGCGCCGGGCCCCTGCACGGGCACGTTGGACGCCGCGTGCTGGTACGAGCCGCCGAGCGCGGCCGCGGCGAAGGGCCGCATCATGGTCTTCGGGGGCCAGATCTGGCCCGGCGCGCCCGACTCGTCGACGGTCCTCGTCCGCGGCCGCGGCGTCCAGACGTGCCGCGCGTTCCACGCCTTCGACGTCGCCGCGCGGGCCTGGGCCGCGCTGCCGCTCCTCGGCGACGCGCCGCCGCCGATCCAGGAGGCGACGGTCGTGCCCCTCGACGGCGGGGCCCGCTGCGTCGTCGCCGGCGGCTACACGGAGCGGTCCGGCGCGTCGCTCGAGGACCTTACGGCGCAGTACAAGCAGTTCGAGGGCGCGACCCACGCGGCGCCCTACCGCCGGGGCTTCCACGCCTACGACTCGGCGACGGGCTGCTGGGTCGAGCTCGCGCGCCTCGGCGACGACGTCCCGCTCGTCGCGCAGGCCTGGGCCGCGGCGACGTCGAAGTCGACCTTCGTCGTCGGCGGGGGCTACGGCGTCGGCCTCGACAACGACGCGCCCGTCATGTCCGGCGGCGAGGCGGGGACGAAGCCCGTGGCCTTCAAGTCCTACTACGAATGCCAGGTCCACGACGAGGCCGACGGCCTCAGCACGGACGCGTGGGGCCAGTACGGCATCACGACCGCCGTGCTCCCGATCTACCACGAGGGCGGCGACATGCGGTCGCTCGTCGCGTCGGGCAAGGTCCACATGTCCCTCCCGATTTTTGGCCCTATCCCGGAGAGCAACGGGCAGCTCGAGCGCGAGGCGAAGAGCGCGCCGCGCGTGCCGCCGGAGCTCCGGGGCGACCCCTTCGAGATGGCCCAGCGCGTCTACCGCGGCGGCGTCTACTGCTCGTGGGTCATCATGCACCCGTCGGGCGACCGCAACGCCTGCGTCAACATGGACAACTACAAGGGCCCGTTCCTCGTGACAATCAGGGACGACCTGCTCGCGAAGGGCTGGGACCGCAAGAGCCTCATGATCGCCCCCCCGGCCGACATGGGCCTCAAAGGCCGCTGCCACGCCCCCGGGCCCGAACGTCACGATCAACCAGCCCCTCGATCCGATCCTGCGCCGCGCGGCCCGCGCCGCGCGCGACGCCGAGCCCCGGGCCGCGGCGTTCGCGGAACGGCTCGGCGCGGCGGCCTACGACGGCGACGCGACGTTCACGATCAAGGTCGAGGTCGTCGGCCTCTACCCGCCGATCTGGCGCCGCCTGCGCGTCGCGGCGGGCCTCCCGCTCTCGGACCTCGACGACCGCGTGCTCCGGCCCGCGTTCGGCTACACGCGGAACATGCACGCGCACGCGTTCCGGCGGCGGCCGCACGAGCCGTGGCTCGGGCCGCGCGAGTCCACGGCCATGGACATGTGCCACCTACCCTGGTACGTCCGGGCCCTGGGCCCCGACGCGGCCGTTCGTTTGGGCCAGGTGCTCGCGGACGTCGGCGACGAGCTCACGTGGGTCTGGGACCTCGGCGACTGGTGGGAGCACCGCGTCACCGTCGAGGCCGTCGGCCGGCGCGCGGCGGGCGGCGGCGGCGACGACGTCGTCGCCGCGCTGCTGGGCGGGGAGGGCGCTGGGGTCCCCGAGGACTGCGGCGGGCCCCAGCACTTCGCGAGCCAGGTGAACAGATTGGTGGGCGCGGCCGACGACGCGTCGAACGCGAGCGTCAAGGACAAGGAGCGGCGCATCATCCCCGGCTCCGAGGCCTTCTGGAAGCTGCTCAACGAGGAGTTTCGCAAGAAGAATTGTTCGCGCGTCGTCTACGACCCGCGCCGCTTCGACCGCGACGACGCGCGCGCGGCGATCGCCGCCGCGCTCCGGTCGCGGCGGAGCCGGCCCCAGCACGCGGACCGCAACTTCACGACGACGAGCGCCTCGGGCCTCATGGGCCCCATCGGCGGCGACGCGGCCGCGCCGGGCGACCGCGCGCAGCGGAAGAAGTTCTGCGCCGTCTGCGGCGTCCGCGCGAACCTCCAGGCCTGCGCGCGCTGCGGCGCCGCCTTCTACTGCTCCAAGGCGCACCAGGAGAGCCACTGGAAGGAGCACCGGCGCGACTGCAAGAAGGCCCGCGCCGGCGGGAAGTAAGGGCGCTACTATTTAGGACGTGGGGGAGTCCGGGCGAATGGGACGGGCAGTCCTTCAATAGTCGGCGTCGGAGTTGGACGCGACGACGTCGTCGACGGCACTGGCACCCCATTGTTCAAACGGAAGGCCGTTGGCAAAGTCCCGCGCGAAAATCTCCCGTTGGCGTTCCTCTTCCGTGCGGCCGTGCCGGCCAAGGTTCTCGAAACCTCCGCATTTTTCGATCAGAGCGGCGTGCTCTGCCTCCGCCGCCGCGCGTATGCGGCCGTCGTCCTTGAGCCGCTGCGACACGAATTCGATCACGCAGCCTTGGTTTTCGCAAGCGGCGAGCGCGATCTCGAAATCGTCCTTCAGTTCCTCAGCGGCAAAATACAAAGCAAGTCCGGTTTCCCGGACGGCCGCGAGAACAATGTCGCGGTCTGCCTGGAGCGCCGCAGACGCGCCACACAGTGCGAAACCGTCGATGGCGATCGCCGCGACGACGATTTCTCGATCGGCTCGGAACGCATCGGAACAGGACAAGAGGGCCATCGGATCTTTCGTCACCGCGGCGAGAACGACATTTCGATCTTCTTGGAGGACGGGACCCGCCGATTGCAACAATTCAACGATGCCGCTCTCACGGCGACAAACATTATCGGAGCAGGCCGCGCTCTTGGCCAGGACCTGTAGGAAGAGCTCGCGGTCGCTCCGGAGTCGCAATGATAGGTCCCGATAGCTGGAGCTGAGCGAAAAAGGTGCAGTTTTGGGGCAGTAGAGCTGGATGGCCATGAACGCAAGGTCGCGGTCGTCCCTGAGTCGATCCGAGGCGTATTGGAGCGCCCGGAAGCCGCCGTCGCTCCCCCTTATGGCCGCCTCGACGACACCCCGGTCGTCGCGTAGTCGCTCGTCCGCAAATTGAAGGTTCGGGTGATAAATTTGATTGATCGGACCTGTCTGAGACACGGCTGCGATCACCGCCTCGCGGTCTCCGATCAGGCGTTCGGACGCGTAAAAGAGCGAAATGTTGCCCCGCAGTGCGTCGAGCATCAGATCGGAGTCGCGAATTTGTGCGGGAAACAGGATTTCAGCTGTCCAGCCTTGAGTGACAATTTCAGGAATGTACCTCTCCCCGATCTTGCCAAGCGCCGCGCGAGCCACCTCTTCGTCGAGTTGGAGTTCTTCGGGAATCAGCCGGTAGATCTTCTGGGAAAGATCGAGCAATGCCGTCTTCGCGTCCTCGTTTTTGATGGCGGCGAGCACGATCTCCTTGTCCGTGAGGTGGCTGGAATCCACGGTCCGAAGCACGTCTCCCGATTGATGAACGGCGGCCAGGACGACGGCGCGGTCCTCGCGCCACGCGTCCGGCGCCTTCACAAGGTTGCCATATGTTTCCTCAAAGTCGTCGACGACCCGTCGAGAGGGAATCCCGATATGCGCTTCCTGTCCAGGCGCCACGCAGATCATCAGCGCCTTGAACCGCAGGTCGCCGTACAGCTCTCGCGCGACACGGCATGTCGATGAAAAGCGGATCAAGTCCAGGACTCGCGCGTATTTCCTATCTTTCGTGCGGAGTGGCCAACCGCGCGGCCCCAGCGTGTAGCCGACCAAGCTCCAGGCGACCTCCGGCGGGAGCGCGGCGACGCTCATCTCTCTACTCGACTCTTTTGCCACTTTTTTTTTTCTTCGCCAAAGGCGCAAGGTGCGGCTCCGGTGCACGACCCCATCCTCGACGCCCCATACCGAGTCCCGCCAAATTAAAAAAGGGGGCATCTAGGTCTGCTTCTTCTTCTTCTCGGCCATGATCTCCGCGAAGCTCTTGACGCCGAACTCCTTGGGCTCCGGCGGCGCCGCGAGGGCCGAGGCCTTCTTGGCCTTCTTCGGCGGCGGCGCGGCGGGCGGCGGCGGCGGCGGCTTGTCGCGCTTCGACTTGGACCAGGCGATCTTGCGCACCGTCGGGCTCGACGACTCGTCGGCGACGGTGATCTCCACGGCCTCGTACTTGGGCCGCTTCTTCGCGGGCTTGGCCGCGGGCTTCGGCGCGGCGGGCTCGTCGTCGAGGCCGTCGACGCCGATGGACAGGAGCTGCCCCCGGTCGTCGTCGCCGCCGTCGCCCGCGTCGTACTCGTCGTCGTCGTCGTCGTCGGCGGGCGCGGGCGCGTCGTCCGCGGGCGCCGCGGGCTCGGGCGCGGGCTCGGGCGCGGACTTCCGCTTCTTGCCCCGCGCGGCGCGGTCGCGGCCCGTCTTCGGGTCGACGTCCAGCGTCGAGAAGGCGACGCGCCCGTCGCCCTTGACCTCGAGCACGCGCACGAACACGACGTCGCCCTTGCCGGGCACGTGGGCCTTGCCCTTGGCGCCGGGCCCGCACTTGGACTTGTGCAGCAAGCCCTCTCGGCCGCCGTCGAGCTTCACGAAGACGCCGTAGGGGAAGAGCTTGACGACGGCGCCCCGGCGCACGTCGCCGGGCCGCACCTCCGGCGACGCCGCGTCGCCGCCGTCGGCGGGCGGCGCGGGCTCCGGCGCGGCCGCCGCGCGCGGCGACGCGAGCGCGCCGTCGAGGTCCGGCGCCGGCGCCGGCGCGTCGTCGCCGCGGCGCGCCGCGGCGGCCTCGGCCTCCTCGGCGCGCGCGCGCGCGGCCGCCGACGGCGCGAGGCCGCCGTCCTCGTCGAGGCTCACGTCGTCGACGAGCGGCGGCTCGTCATCGTCGCCCCCCCTTTGCGCCTCGCGGCCAAAGTCGTCGCGCGCGTCGTCGCGGCGCGCGTGGCCGTTGCCCTTGGGCGCGTCGTCGAAGGCGCCGCGGCGGTCGTAGGGGTGGTCCGGCCGCGGCGCGTTCTTCCGCTCCGAGTGCGCGTGGCCGTCGGGGCGGACGCCGCGCGACGTGCAGGACCACTTGGACACGTCCTTGTTGTCCATGACGCGCACGTGGACCGTGCCGCCGACGCGCACGGGCGCCTCCATCTGCGTCGTCGGCAGCAGCCCGTCGCAGAAGCCGTCGACGCGGAGGAACGCGCCGCACGCCTTGATGCGGTCGACGACGCCCGTGACCTGTGTGAAATCAAATATTCAACTCGACTTCAATGTGCGCGTAATCGAACGGTTTGGACCAGACTCTTTCGCTGTGCTTCGAGAAATCGACGAGAGCAATCGATTCGTCCAAAAATCAGCCGAATCGACTTCGATTTGACCGAGCTAGAGAGTTCTGAAGTTTGGTGGGGGCCCCCCAAACCAGTGGTTGATTTCCACACCGCCCGTGACGATGGCGTTCGGCGGCGGGCACTGGCGCGGCGGCCGGCTGTCGCCGCGGTCGAGGGGCGGCCGGTCGTCGAGGGGCCGCGGCGGGCCCCGGTCGTCGAGCGGCGGCCGGTCGTAGGGCCGGTCGAGCGGCGGCCGGTCGTCGTAGCGGTCCATCGGCGGCGGCCGGTCGTCGTAGGGCCTCTCCCGCGGCGGCGGCGGGCCCCGGTGGTCGTAGCCGCCCGGCGGCCGGTCCAGGGGCATGCGGTCCGGGGGCGGCCCGCGGTCCATGGGCATGCCCCGGTCCATGGGCATGCCCCGGTCCATGGGCATGCCGCGATCCATGGGCATGCCGCGGTCCATGGGCATGCCGCGGTCCATGGGCATGCCCCGGTCCATGGGCATGCCCCGGTCCATGGGCATGCCCCGGTCCATGGGCATGCCCCGGTCCATGCCCCGGTCCATGGGCGGGCGGTCCATGGGCGGCATGCCCCGGTCCATGGGCGGCATGCCCCGGTCCATGGGCGGCATGCCGCGATCGACGGGCCCGCGGTCCATGCGGTCCATGGGCGGCCGGTCGAAGGGCGGCGGCGGCCGGTCGTCGTAGCGCGGCGACCGGTCGTTGAGGGGCCGGCCGTAGCCCGGCGGCGGCCCCCGGTCCAGCGGCGGCCGGTCGTCGAGGCGCATGTTCGGCGGCGGAGGGCCCCGGTCGTCGAAGTGGTCGCGCCGCGGGAGCCGCGGCGAGTGCTGGGGCCCGCGGCGGTCGTCGCGGTAGCCGCCGTCGCGCATCGGCGGCGGCGGGCCCCGGTCGTCGCGCCGCGGCGGCGGGTGGTTCGCGTGGGTCTGGCGCGGCGACGCCTGCGACCGCGGCGACCGCGGCGGCGGCGGCGGCGGCGCGGGCGGCGGCAGCGGCGGCCCGGACCCGAGCATCTCCGGCTCGGCCTTCTTCGCCGGCGCCGCCGGCGCCGCCGGCGGCGCGTCGTCCGGCGCGTCGGGCCGCGGGCTCGGCGCGCGCGTTCGCGCGGCCTTGGGCGCCTGGGGGCGCGGGACGCTCCGCTGCGCGGGCTGCGCGACGCCGTGCATCGTGCCCTCCCAGCGCCAGGCGTGGGGCGACGCCCCCGGCGCGAAGGAGTAGGCGCAGCGCACGGCGACGGCCGCGCCCTCGGGCAGCATCTTCTGCGGGTCGTCGCGGCGGACCATGCCCGCGAGCGGGATCAGACCCTCGAGCGCCCAAGTGTGGCCCTTGATGACGCAGCCGTGGCCCGCCTCGTGGCGCAGCACGCTCGCCTCGATGAGCTCGCCGACGCGCGGCGGCAGCACGCCCGACGGCGGGGGCGCGCCCGCGGACCGCGGGTCGACGCGCGTCTTCACGGGCTCGCGCGCCGACGGGTCGATGTGGCCCAAGGCCGACGCCGCGGGCTTCTGCGGCGGCGCGACGCGGCTCCGGTCGACCTCGGGCGCCGGCTTGTCCGGCGTCTCCCGCGGGGGCAGGCCCGCGGGCGGCCGCATGCCGCGCGCGCGCTCGTCCGAAAAGTTCGTCGCGGGCTTGTCGTCGCGCCCCTTGCGCCGGGCGCCGCGCCGGCGGCTCGGCGACCGGCTCGCGCTCGACGACGACGAACTCGCGCGGCGCTTCGACCGCTTGCGCCGGCGGCTCCGCGACGACGACCGGCTCGACGCGCGGCGCGCGCGGCGCCGCCGCCGCGACCGGTCCTCCTCGGAGTCGGACCCGGACGAGTCGCTCCGCGGCGCCTTCTTCTTCTTCGACGACGGCGCCTCCTTGTCGGTGCCGCGCTCGTAGGGGTTCGCCTTCTTCTCCGCGGGGGGCGCCGCGGGCGACGCGGACGGCGGCGGCGCCGCGGGCGACGCGGACGACGGGCTCCGCGACCGCGCGGTCTCCGCGAGGAACTTGTCGAGCGACTCCTCGCGCTTCGGCCGGCCCCGGGCCTTGGGCGGCGGGCTCGCGTCGTCGAGCTCCTTCATGGGGCTCGTCGGCTCCAGGGAGATGGCCATGTCGTCCGCCGGCGGCGGCTTCTTCGCGTCCGCCGCCGCGAGCGCCGCGTCGCGCTGGCGCGTCATCTCCGCCAGCTGCTCGCGGAGGAGGCGCTCCGACTCGGAGATGGGCGGCGCCTCGGCGGCCCTCCGGGCCTCCTCCGCCTCGGCCTCCGCGGCCGCCGCGGCCTCGGCGTCGCGCCGCGCGGCCTCGGCCTCCTCCTCGGCCCGCAGCCGGGCCGCCTCGGCCTCCCGCTGGGCCGTCAGCCGCGCCGCGTCCTCGGCGGCCTTGGCCCGCGCGGCCTCCTCGCGCTCCGCGCGCGCGCGCGCCGCCTCGGCCTCGGCCGCGAGCCGCGCGGCCTCGGCCTCGGCCTGCCGCTGCGCCGCCGCCTCGTGCTCGGCCTGGAGCCGCGCCGCCTCGTCGCGCTCGGCCCGGAGCTGCGCCGCGCGCTCCTCGGCGACGAGCCGCGCGGCCTCCTCGGCCTCGGCGGCGCGCGCGGCCTCGTCCGCCGCGGCCTCGAGCTTCGCGGCCTCGGCGCGCAGGAACTCGGCGCGCGCGGCCTCGGCGCGCGCGGCCTCGGCGCGCGCCTCCGCCGCCGCCTCGTCGTCGGAGTCGACGTCCACGGGCGCCTCCGGCGGCCGCTGGAGCTCGTCGTCCGAGTCGTCGTCGTCCGAGAAGGCGGCGGCCGGCGGCGCCGCGGCGGCCTTGGGCGACGGCAGGAACGCCGACGGCGGCGGCGCCCCGGGGGGCATGCGCGGCGGCGGCACGGCGGGCGCCGGCGCCGGCGCCGGCGCCGGCCGCTTCCCGCCGACGACGATGCGCGGCGGCGGCGACGGCGGCGCCGCGGGCTCCGCGGGCTCGGGCTCGGGCTCCGGCTCCGGCTCGGGCTCCGGCGGCGACGCGGGCGCGTCGGCCCACATGTCGTGGATGTAGTAGGGCTCGGCGTCGGCCGCCGCGGGCGCGGGCGCGGGCGCGGCCGGCGACGGCGGCGCGGCCGGCGACGGCGGCGCGGCCGCGGGCGCCGGCGGCGCCTGCTCGTAGGGCACGTCCTTCTCCTCGCGCTTCATGGAGAAGCTGACGGCGTTCTGCTCGCCGAAGACGGGGCCCTGGCTCAGCTTCAGGTCGTCGTCGCCCGCCGCGTCGAGGGGCTTGGCGGCCCTGACGAGCGCTGCGGTCGCCGACTCCGACAGCGACCGCCGCTTCGCCCAGATCGCCACGAGCTTCGCCGTGCTCTCGCAGGGCGTCTGGAGCAGGGGCTCGTCGTCCGCCTCCTCGACGGCGAACTGGGCCATGCGCTGGACCATCTTCGGCAGGTGCTTCGTCCGCTCGCACGACGCGACGAACGCCGCGGCCGCCGCCGACTCGCCCGCGGGCCCCTTGCGCGCCTTGAAGATGTCGTCGACGGCGTAGAGCACGGCCAGCGAGTACTTGAAGCGCTGGAGCACGGGGCCCTCGTCGCTGAAGAGGTTCACGGCGACCTGGTCGAGCATGCGCTTGAGGCACCCCTCGGCGACCTCGGCCGCGAGCGCGTGCCCGAGGAACCACTTGCTCACGGCCTGGACGCGCACGCGCTTCGTCGTGAGCTCCTTCAGCAGCACGACGAGCTCGCCGAGGGCCGCGTCCTTCTCCTCCCTCGTCGCCGCGCCGTAGCGGACGTCGACCTCGTCCCCGGCGGGCGCCGCCGCGGGTTCCGCCGGGGGCCGCGGCGCCGGCGCCTCGGGCTCCTGCTCCGCGGCCTCGAGCGTCTCCTTCTCCGGCGGCTCCCAGCGCGTCTCGCGCGTCGACGAATGGAAGAAGTAGGGCAGGCCCTCCGGCGTCTTCGCCTCGATCCACATGGGCTCCGCACCGGAGGCCGCGCGGGCGCCCGCGGGGCTCAAAAAGCTGGCTGCCGCCCGCGGATCCAGCCGAAGCCCGCGCGGACCTCAAAAAGCTGGCCGCCGCGGCCCCAGCAGCCGAAACAGATCGGCAGAAGCTGCCAACACTCGCGGCCGAATAGAGGACTTTTGCCTCTGGTGCTCGGCGACCACGAACGCGTTTCGTCCCACAGCGCGAAGCCCATGTCGACTCGCTAAGTTTGCAAGTCCGGTGCTCCACCGGCCCCAACCACCGAGTCCTCCCTCGACCACAAGAGACACGCACACATTACCCCGCGAGCCCCTCGGGCGTGCCCGCGTAGTCGTCCGTCGTCCGCCCGAGGTTCGAGAGCTGGACGCGGAAGCCGCCCCGGGAGCCGAGCTCGGACCGCGCCATGGAGATGGCCTGGTTCCGGAGCCGCTCGTCGGAGAGGCTCCGCTTGAGCGTCGCCGAGAGGTCGCCCTCGAGCTTGGCGAGCCGCGCGTCCAACCGCAGCGAGTCGTGCGTCGTCTTCTCGAGCAAAGCCGCCGCCGCGGTCTGCGGCCGCGACGCGACGCGGTGCGGGTCCTCGACCTCGCCGCCCCTGGCGTCGACCATCTGGTCCCGCTTGCTCAGGTGGTGGCGGATCAGGACGGCGTCGGGCGCGTAGCGCGGCTTCGGCGGCGGCGGGACGTACTTCGGCGGCGCGTTCTTCGCCAAAACCCGGAGCAGGATCTGCCGGTCGTAGTGCGCCTCGGACGACTTCACGGCGGGCCACTGCCCCGCGGGCGGCTGCCAGAAGCCGTGGGGCCGCAGCGCGGCGGGGTTCAAAGATTTCGACGCGCGCGAGCTCCGGCGCGACGACGACGGCGTCGCCGCCGCCGGCTCCGCGGCGATTTCCGATAAGGGCGTGACGCCGTCGGCGGCGAAGAGCGACGTCGGCCGCGCGGACGGCGGCGGCGGGTGGCGCAGGTGCGGCCGGTGCAGCGACAGCACGCCCACGGACCGGACCGATAATAAGTAAGGCAGCCGGTCCACCGAAAAAAGCCAGTCGCCCGTGAACCGCGTGATCGTCCGGCCCGACGCCCGCTGGAGCAGGTCGACGACGTTGGACGTCGCCTCCGCGAGGCGTCGTCTATAATCCCCCCCGACGAGCGTCGCGTGGCCCGCCAACCGCAGCTGCTTCGCGTCGCCGCCGAGTAGAGGGCCCACGAGCGACTCCACGTAGGCCGATTCCACCGTCGTCGACTCGAGGGACCGCACGGACGCCTCGTCCGCGTCCTGGTGGTGGCCTGGGCAGCAAAAGGGTGATTCAACGTCGCTTCAACGTGAGTGTTCCGCGCGCGCGCGTTACGGAAAAAACATCCACACTTCGAGACCGTTCCGAGAGATGATCGCTCGTCCAAAAATCAGCCGAAACGAGTGGAAAACGGCCGAGATATGAGCCTTTGAAGTTGGGAATTTCGCTCTCTTTTGCTGCCCTGGTGGTGGCCCAGGGGCCCGCCGTCGTCGACCTGCTTGATGGCGCCCGGCAAGAAGTTCTCCGGCGGCCGCTCGTAGGTGCGCCCGTCCTCGACGAAGCGCAGTTCCACCGACGCCATCTGGGGCCGGGGCCGCGCGCGCGCGAACGAATGCACGAAGCTCCCGCAGCCGCGGCACCGGAGCTGCGGCGGCGCGTAGCGCTGCAGCGCGACGAGCATGCGCCGGCTGCTGAGCGCGCGCTTCGACTGCGTGTCCCAGGACTTGAGGGTGGCGTCGCCCGTCGCGTTCGCGTGCTCGAAGCAGCACAGCAGCTCGACCTCTCGCAACGAGAGGCCGTAGCGCCGCGCGGGCCCGCCGCCGTCGTCGACCCAGGCGACGGCGCAGGGCGCCCCGGCCTTCTCGAAGTCGCCGACGTGCCGCGGCTTGCAGGCGCGGTTCGCGTTCATGGCCTCGCCGCCGCTGAGCGCCGCGTAGACCCGGGGCCAGATCGACTTCTTCCCGCCGTGGTCGCCGAGCCTCGGCGTCTTCCGCCGGTGCACGGCGCCCCGGGCGTCGCTGTGGAGCCACTCGACGACGTAGCCGTGGTCGAGGAAGATCGTCTCCACGAAGCGGCAGTGGCCGTCGGCAGACGCCGACGCGGCGAGGCCGTCGCGCACCCACTGCCAGCCCGCCGCGCCCTCCAAAACCTCCTCGTGCTGGGGCCGCGACAGCGGGAAGGGCTCGGCGTCGGCCATGAGCTCGCCGATGTTCGCCGTGACGTCGAACGCCACGGACTTGGACGCCAGCGTCATGGCGCGCCCGACGGGGCGCCGCGGCGGACGTCTATAGCGCGCTCGACGGGGGCAACGTGCAGCGTGGCGGCAGGATCACCCCGGCAGCCTGTTGCGCCGGCACCAGCGTTGGCATAGAGCTCGCGCCCGCCGGCGCCGTCGCGCAGCCGCCCGAGCCTCCGGCCGTGCCGCCTGCCGCGCACTCGCGCGCGCGCACGCCTCGGCTCGCGCCGTCGCGCGCGCGGGCGCCATGGTCGTCAGCCAGGAGGAGAAGGAGGAGTTTGGGCCCATCCGGACGCTGTACAACGAGATGTCCGAGGTGCGCGACGCCTCCGCCATCGCGCCGCGCGTGCCGCCGCGATCGCGCGCGCGCGACGCGAGCGCTGCCCGCGCTCGGACGCGACGCGCTCCGCTCCGCGCGCGCGGCGCGCGCGCCCGACCCCGCCGCGCGCGCGCGCGCGCGACGCCGCCGCGCCGCCGCGCCGTCGACGCCGCGCCGAACCGCAGGAGGTCACGGAAGTGGCGATGATGGTCATCCTCGAGGCGCTCAAGGACATGAAGAAGGGCAAGTGCGAGCTCTTCAAGGACGTCGCCAAGGCCATCAAAACGGAGTTCGAAGCGAAATATCCCGGCTCCTGGCACGTCATCTGCGGCCGCGACTTTGGCTCTCACGTCACGCACGAGGTCAGGAACATCCTCTTCTGCAGCATGGGGCGCATAAATCTCCTCATCTTCAAGCACGGCTGACGCGCGCCGCCGCCGGCCCGCGGCTCGTAACGTCCGGCTGAGGAGACGTCCGGCTGAGGAGACGTCCGCCGCTCGCCCTCGGGCGCGAGGCGACTGGCGTGCCGCGCTTAGGCTGGGCGCGGCATACGGGCGGCGGTGCCGCCGCGCGGGGCGGGGGGGGGCTCTTGCGGTGCGCGCGCGGGCCGCCCCGGCGGCCGAGGCGCCCGCGGGGGTGAGGGGGGGCGCGGGGCTGTGTGTTCGACGAGAGAGAGAGACGGGGGCGGGAGAGATGGAGAACGAAGCGGCGCTAGTCCTGCTGGTAGTACTCGAGCTGCTCCTTCGACTCCTCGGTGATGAACTGGCTCTCCTCCTGCTCCTTGTTTAGGGGAGGCTCCGCGTCGTCGGCGGAGAAGAGCCAGTCGCGGAAGGTCCGGAGCCTCGCGGGCCCCGTGCCGTCCTCGAGCTCGCACTGGAGGCGCCATCGGATCCAGGAGGACGTCGCCGCCTCGAGGAACGCGCCGATGATCAGCGCCGCGTAGGCCGCCTCGGGCGACATCGAGTCGGACGCGATGTTGTCCTCGAAGCCGTCCTCGAGCGAGTCGATGAAGAAGTCCCACATCTCGACGAAGGCGAAGCCCAGGATGATGGCGAAGACGTCCGCGCAGGCGACGACGGAGATGAATTCGATGAGGTGGAGGTAGATGTGGTGAGTCGTCGTCGTGAAGGGCACGAGCCACATGACGAGGCAGAGCACGGACCGGACGAGGGGCACGCCGATGATGAGGCCCCAGAACAGTAAATTCGCGAGCGCGTTCGCGTAGGCCGTGTTCTGGCCGATGCCGTTGCCGGCGTCCATGTAGGTCGAGATGTCGCACGCGCTGATTTCCGTGTCGACCGTCTCCGAGAAGTCGAACTCCGCGTCGATCTTCACGTCCTGGAACTCCGTCACGAGCGCGAGGTCCAGCTCGAAGGTCACGCTCGTGTCCACCGACGGCTCGTAGAGGCCGTAGGCGAGGCACAGCAGCGACACGAGCAGGGGGATGGCCGTGAAGCCGCGCCGCCGCGCGCGGCCCCGCCGCTCCGCCGTCCGCGACCGGAGCGACCACGACGGCTCGTGGCGGATGCGCGCGCGGATCTCGGCAACGCTCGGGATGGGCCGCTCCGTGCGGCCGATGACGTAGATGAAGCGCGCCAATAATTGGGCCGCGCAGAGCACGCCCGCGAAGTAGGGCGCGCCATGGCAGATCTTCGCGAGGATGCGCACGTCCCACTCCGCGCCGATGACGATCTCCTCCGTGTCCGAGCTGTTGTCGATGACCTTGTCGTCGGACGTCGCCCCCTTGAAGCCGACGACGGCGGCGAAGAGCGCGACGAAGATGGGGTAGGAGAAGCCCATGCGGCCCATGCCGTGGACGAGCTCGAACCTGTGCCGAAACCAAATCTTCAACCCGACTTCAATGTGAGCGTATTCGAACGATTTGGACCAGACTCTTTCACTGTGCTTCGAGAACTCGACGAGAGCGATCGATCCGTCCAAAAATCAGCCGAATCGACTTTGATTTGACCGAGCTAGAGAATTCTCAAGTTTGGTGGGGACCCCCCAAACCAGTGGTTGGTTTCGGCACAGGCTCGAACTTGCGGCTCATGCGCTCGCGCGAGTTGTGGAAGAAGACGCCGTAGAGGTGCAGGAAGATGGCCAGCGGCGCGAGGACGCCGGCGAAGAGCGGGACCCAGAAGGCGAAGAGCACGGCGCCGTAGTCGTGGAACTTCTTGGCCAGGTGCCACAAATTCGCCGTCTCCATCGTCTTGTCGTCGGACGTGTCGAAGACCTCCTCGAGCGTGAGCGTCGCCGTGCCGTTCGTGACCTCGTAGTACTGGGCCGCCGTGTAGTAGACGATCTGCGCGCGGGGGATTGCGGGGTCGAGGCGCGGCGCGCGCGCGGACGGGCGGGTCAATTTCGGCGTTCGAACGTTCGCGGCGCGCGCGCGCGCCGAGAGCGTCCCCGGGGGCGGGGCGTCGGGCGTCGCCGCCGTCCGCGTCGTCCCCGCGCCACGGACGCGCGCGACGCGTCGCCGCCCCCCCGTCCTCCGGCGCCGGCGCGCGCCTCCGTCTTCAGTTTGTAGGACGTCATGAGCTGGGCGGCGATGAGCATCACCAGCGACGCGATGAGCCAGCAGATGGAGCAGGCGCCCGTGATGCCGCGGTCCAGGACCGTCCGCGCCATGGTGACCGCCCGGGGCCCGAGCCCGCCCCCGCCGCCGAGATCCAGACGCGCAGCGTGGACACAGGCGGGCTGCTTTGTGCGTCGTGCAAATTTGGGTGCTCATCTTCACCGATGCCGCACGTTTAGCCAAAACGTCCGGGCAGCCGAAGGACTCATGGCGGCCCCCCAAACGGCCTGGACGGGCTTCGGCGACTACGTCGAGAGCCTGGGCACGCCCATGTCCGGCGGCGGCGCGAGCGCGAACTTCCAGGAGATGCTCGAGGCCGCGCTCGCGAAGGAGGAGGCCGCGCGCCCGCCCGCGACGCCGCCGGCGTCGCCGTCGCGGCTCCCGCCGTCGGAGCGGCCGACGCCGGCGAAGCCCCCGCCGCTCCCGCCGTCGGAGCGGCCGACGCCGGCGAAGCCGCGGCGGAGCTCGCGGCTCGCGGCGCTCGCGCCCGCGCCCCCGCGGCCGCCGCTCCTCGAGAGGCTGCCCGCGGACGTCGCGCGGCGCGCCTACGGCTGGCTGCATCCGCTGACGCTCGCGCGGGCGGCCGCCGCGTCCCGGGCGCTCAAGGAGTCGGCCTGGGACGGCTACGGCAAGCGCGAGCGCTTCGCGTGGGACGGCGAGACCGTCGACGAGTTCGGCGCGGTCCACACCTCGGAGACGCAGAACTGGCCCATCGACGTCTCGGAGTGCCGCCTCACGCTCGCGCGGCACAAGCGGCTCGACCCCCTGAGTCCTAGTAGCACGCGGCTGGACGACCTGGTCTGCAACTTTCTTGTGTCCTTAGGTTGGACGCCCTCTTCCGAAGCCGCGACAACGACGACGCGTTCTACTTCTGCGCCAGCTGTTACGCGACGAATCGGGACGGGAGCCCCGTCGAGCTCCCGGGCCCCTGGCCCGGCGACGCGCGGCTGTCGGCGAACCTCGACCTGCCCGTGCTCAAGGGCGGCGGCCTCGCGGCCGAGGACGTCGCGTTCCTCGTCCAATACGAAGACGACATGGCCAACGGCCACACGTGGGTCGTGCACGGCGACGACGTCCCCGGCTGGCGCGAGGGCGACGAGACGCTCGAATTCCGGTCGGAGCGCGTGATGGAGCGCATCGACACGTTTTTTTGGGACAGCATAGGCATCCAGCTCTGCGCGCTGCTCCTCGGCGACGACGAGCCGAGGGCCGTCTTCGTGGGCTCGTACGTCCCCGGCCGCTGGAAACCGAGCGGCCGGGTCGCGTTCGGGTCGGACGTCGGAGAGAACGAGACGCTCCAGCTCGGCGCCGACCCCGGGCCGGTGCTCGTCGACGGGCGCGCGTACGACTGGCGCTGCGAGTGCACCATCGTGGGCTCGGACCCCGACGACGACGACAGCGACGACCCGGACGGCTCGCTCGGAAACAACCAAGGATACGACATGTTGGACTTCTCCTTCGACTTCCTCAGCTCGCCCCGGGACACGCGGCCCCGGACCGCGGACGGCCTCTCCGCGCGGTCGCTCCTCCTCGCCGCGCTCGTCGGGGACGCCGCGTAACAGCTTACGCGCCGGGGCAGCCCGCGTCGTAGGCGCAGACGGCCGCGAGGGCCCACCAGGACAGGACGACGTCCGCCGTGTAGTGGCACCGCGACGCGAGGATGAGGACGGAGTAGCCCGCGACCTACCGAGCCGATGTCTCCTTGTTTTCCCGCCCCGCATCTCTCGAAATTCGGCCGCAGGACGCCGCCCGCGACCCACAGCGGCACGCAGAAGCGCGGGATGACGCCGCGGACGGCCATGAAGTGCGCGGCCAGCCCCGTGTTGTAGACGTGGTTCGACATCAACTTGTCCGTCGCGCCGCCCATGAAGCGCTGCACGAACTTGGCGAAGCGGCCCAGGCCCGCCGCGAGGCGCCCGACGCGCGAGCCGCCGAAGCGCCTGTGCGCGCGCTCGAGCGCGTCGGGCGCCGGCGGCGCGGGGTCGCTGTCGGGCAGCGTCGTCGCTGTGTGAAGCGAGGCGGAAAAGAGCATGCCGCCCGCGCAGTAGACGAGGCTCCGGCGGAAGCACTCGAGGCCCGCGGCGCCGCCGAAGATGCCCGTCCCCACGAGGTAGAGGGCCATGGCGCTGCCCAGCACGTCCGCGGCCGCGCCCGCGCCGGCGACCGCGGGCACGAACTGGAACCCCAGATCGGGCAGCGGCCGTTGCGACGCGCTCTGGCGCGTATCGCTCCACTGGAGCGTCGTCAGGTAGACGACGGATGCGGCGAACCAGGCGGCGGCGGCGCTCTTCAGCGCGTCGATGATCTCGACGGCGGAGACGCCGCCGCCGCCGCCGCGCAGGCACGCGACCTCGAGCAGTGGCGGCGCGATGGTTTTGTGGAGCGTCGGCGTGCGGATGGGGCTGCGCGGGCGCGGGAGCGCGAACATGGGCGCGAGCGCGAGTGGCAAGAGCAGCCTTCGCATCATCACCATCGTCGCGAGCGAACACTTCAAGAAGCCCCGATATCGATCAAAAACTTTAGTGATTAAAATCTCCACTTCGAGCTCTCGAGCAGCCGCCCGCCTGCCCGCGAGCGCCGCGTCCGCAGAGCCCCGTGCGCGCGCCGCCTCGTGTGCGGCGCGGCAAGCCGAGCGCGCGCCGCCTCGCGTGCGGCGCTTGCCGCGCATCTCGCATCGATCGTCGGCGATGCCGAACGCGCCGTACCCGCTCGACTTCGAGACGCAGAACCTGGAGGACGAGTCGAAGAAGCTCCAACAAATGCTCTCCTTCTACGAGAACGCGAAGAACGAGCAGGAGGGCGCCCAGGCCGTGACGGACGCCCTCAAGGCGGCCTTCGGGTCCATCGGCTTTGAAGGTGTCTCGGAGCCGCCGCCGCCGGAGCGGGACGACCCCGAGGTGTCGCCGGAACCGGAGCCCGCGTCGCTCGACGACGCCGCGCGGGCCGCCGCGGCGCTCGAGGAGGCCGAGGCGGCCGAGGACCCGGAGCTGCGCAAGCTCGCCGACGAGGCGCTCAAGGCGCAGTACGAGCTCGAGCGGGAGACGGGCGCCGCGGGGGCGGCGCTC